ACACTTCTTTGCATTTCTTTGGCGCAAGGGCATATGAAGCTCACAATACGGCCAAGTGTTGATTTTTCTACTTCAGCGTCGAAGTCTCCGCAACAATTGTCAAACGATTAAAGTTCGAAGGAAATAAAAGATCACCGATTATCTGTAACTTTGGGTGTCTTTGGTATCCTTATACCAAAGAAGACACCAAATCCTTACGGATTAAGCTCACAATACGGCCAGAAGCCGATTTTACCTTATAAAACACGCTACTGCAGTATGATGGTTCTCCACTCCAGGACATCTTCCAAATTGGTACTACTTAATGACGCACATTTTGGTATCGATGCACTTGACCGTGAACGGATCTAAATCTGGAAGAGGCCCATGCCACAGTAGACTGACGGTTTCCTAGGAAACGTTGTATATATTAGAAGTTTTGAAAAAATAATGTTCGCGGGAAGAAACACATTCAACCTCATGATGAAACGTCCAAACGTAAAGGCATTTATATTGTGCATATATAGATTGATGAATGGGCGAAACGTGTGTGTTGCCGCGTTGTAGAAATTGTAGCTGGAAATAAATATTTCTTCAAAAGAAATTTGGTAACCCTCAAATGATTATGTAGCGCCCTTGGCACATAACGCTTCTTTTAGGATGTCATATTTTTGAAAATTAGATTTTTCAGTCCATTGGAAACCTTTTCATAAAAACAGGACATGATTATTTTGATCTAATCTTACGGAAGGATTGAGACCCGAATCCAAAACGACTGGATACCGGAAACAATCAAGTACAATTGTCATCGGGAAACACATTATTCGCAAGATACAAAATCATCAGTGTGCTCCAGCTGAGTCTTCTTGGAGACTATATTTTTGGGGTTTTTTCCTTGTATAGTATGAATTTTTATGTTTTGAAAGACAAATACCCGTCACGTTCACCAAATCACCCATCGTCTCTATTTTATAAAGGAAGTCCTCAACTTAAAGTACTGCCGATAATTCCTCCTCGCAAATAATTCACCTCCTGACATTAACTGTAATGTTGTGTAAATTTACTAAACTTTAATGTTGAAAACTATGAGGTATACTGGTAAAACAGTAATTTCTACCCAGCACCAAGCAAAATTGGGAACCCAGAACTAAAGATTTAAAAAAAATCTCGAGGGCCAATGGGGCCAGTGTGGAGGAAGTTTGAAAATTGTCTCAAATAAATTTCAGCAAAACACGCTATAACTTTACCCTTATAAGTTGGATTTATTTATGCTAAAAGGAACTATGTCACACGGAAACCCTATGCACATATTTTTTTCTAGCATGAATACGCCCAGTTGATCATGGAAACGTTCTACACGTTCAACGTGTTCTGCATAAAACTTCAATCAGGAAACATTTCGTGATACAGTAATTTTTACCCTGTATAAAAATTCATTCATATCCGAGGAAACATTTCGTTCACAATAGAGCCATCGGACATTGATGCATCGAATTTCGCAAGCATGACGTTGCCACTAAATGGGTTTATTCCGTTGTTTTCCAGAGGAAAAAAACGTGACCACATTTCAGCGTTGCCAAATTTCTGCTCGCTATTTGTATTTCAACCAAGATATTGTCGCGCATTTTATGGCCTGGTTACACGCTCAAATTTCCGTCAAATTCCGATCAAAATGATGACCCAGATGGCGGTTGAGAGTTATCTAGATTGATGAGTAAAATTAATTAAAACAGCGTGTTGATTGAAATAAGCATGAAATAAGCACGGTTGTGTGGAAATCAGATGAATGATGAGCCCCACAGCTCCATCATCTACCATCAAATTTTTGTAGGCCGCAGAAATTTGATGGTAGATGGTGCGCACTAGTCATCATTTGATCGAAAATTGATGGAAATTTGAGCGTGTAACCAGCACATTAAACTGAAAATTCTCATATTTTCTTTCTGACCCCACGTAAAATCAGTAAAACTTTAGACGCATATTGCAGAGCTATATCAGTGTTAAAAAATGAATAATTAGTATCAATTTTGCAACATCGGAATTAAGTTACGTTCTTTCGTCCAATTCACGACGATTCCTCTTGCCAAAAGTTGCATGCGCCCACCGTCATCCTCCCGACTTGAGATGGGTCGTGATGGTCTCTCTTTTGTGGTGCGCAGAAGTATTTTACCGCACTGACAGGACAATACGGGGCCTTGGCGAAGTCAAGGGCTGGATTGGGTCCGGAGCCAGGAACGGCCGCTCCAATCAAAAAGCGCATATCTCCATACGATCTGCAGTGAAGTTACGTCGTTTTGGCTCAGCACGGCAGAGCGCAGGCCTTGATCTTCGTCAGTAACTCAAAATAGAGACCACGAGTCCGGACTTGGAATGAGACTGTCAGACTAAATTCTAAAACCTCACATCTTCACACTCCTATGAACCCTGGCACTTGGTTATTCTTACGGTGTTCCGGAGTCATCTGAAATCAGGACTTACGAGGTTTTAATACAGATCGATTATAATGTGCCAGGTGCGACTGAAACTCTGCCGTGCTAAGACAGAACACCGTATGAACCTCCCGACGTTGCCAAGTTTCTTTCGATAAAAACTGAATTTAGTGGGAAAATTTGGAATTTTTCCCCCCAAAATTTTCAGACAATTTTGTACGCAATTGAATCTAAAATATTTGAAAATTTCAAGGAGAAATCTGCATGAGTATCGTCAAAAATAGATGTTTTATCAAGGGAGATTCGGCAACTCTTGAATGTTCTTACGGCGTTCTTCCATTGGCACGGCGGAACTCAACTCCAGGTCCGGGGGCGAAAAAGCACAGTTCCTCTGCCACTCACGTTTTGATTTTATGGTGACCGGATCACGTAACCTTTGCCTGCCGTTACCGTCGGTTTAAATTGGGGAAAACTCACTTATTCTGACTGGTACTCGCTCCGAGGAGCGCTGATTTGTTACTTGTTACACGCTGGAATACGTAATTATACGCGTGGGAGAAGCATGGGAAGTCCCGGAGGACAATTGCCTCCTAGATTCCTTGTCATCCCAAGAGAAATTAGACTGCATTTTGCAGATCTGCAGGATGATCATTGAAATTAATAGACAAAGCTATAGACAAATAGGACAGAGGGGATATGCAGGGAGCCTATTGGTGGAAGCGGGTGGTTGCAATGGACAAAGGATGTAGGTATTAGACTAACTAACGGCAAACCATGAGAGATTCTATCTTAGTCTATTAGAACAACTCATTTCAACCAGTAGGATCGTTTCATAGTCCCTATGTCCATCGCTTTGTCTATCAATTTCAATAATCATCCCGCAGGAGTCACTATTAATAGCCCGTCTATTGAAACTCCTATCTAGAAAAAGTAATGACCCTTTTTTTTTTTTTTTTTTTTTTTTTTTTTTTTAATGAAGTATCGGTAGTAATTCCTTGTTGTTTAATGGAAGTATTTATGCTGACATGAACTATGTGCAAACATCGACAGTGAAACTCCCAAGCCACGTATTTCGGTTTGCGACGTTGCAGACCTCTTGTCATACTTTATTTTTCGACAGATAAACCGCACTCAACGTTCATTCTTTAAAATTTCCGTGATTTTTCTGCTCTGTGCGTAGAAAATTTCGTGGAAACCTCACGATATGATGGTGATTCGCTCTCAGAAGAAGAGAATAATAGGAGCGGAGATTTTTGAACACCTCAAACGAGATACGCGGTTTGGGAATTTCACCGTCGATATACTTTAAATGCCACTAAAATAAATTAAACCTCTTTTAACTTCTTTTTGAAGTTTATCGGTAGAAAATTAAAAATTTCGATTTTCCCACTCAACTTTACAAAAATTGCTCCACAGAAAAGTTTGCCTTCGTCCGTCCACTGAGGTTTTTTGTAACCTGGACGCGGTCGCGGTCTTACATGAGAAGTTTGGAACTTAAACGATACACGGAGAAAAAAACTTCGTGCGAGGGACCCGAAGTTTAGGTCATATGGATCTCTGAAGTTTTGGGATTGAGCATCTGAACACTTTAGGTCCAGCTGCTGAGGTTTGGATCACACATCTGAAACTTCAATTCTTACATCTGAAGTACTTCGGTTTTCACATCCGAACAACTTCGGTTCTCACATCCGATAAACTTCGGTTCTCATATCTGCAGTACTTCAGACGTAAGAACTGGAGTTTCGGATGTGTGATCCGAACCTCGACAGCTAGACCTAAAGTGTTCAGATGCTCAATCCGAAAACTTCAGAGATCCATATGACCTAAACTTCGGGTCCCAGATCCCACGCACGAGGTTTTTTTTCTCCGTGTGTAACAGGGATGCGTGAATTTAAAGAGAAAATATTTATACTCTGAAAATCTCCGTTTGACGGAGGATAATACGTCAATTCACCACGTGATCGAATACCCGGAAGAAAATAATTACCGCGAAACAGCCGGGGTCATTTTTTCTAAGTATGTTTACATTGTCTTCCAGCGGGTCCCGGTCTTTTCGAGGAGATTTTAATCGTCAGTAATTTGCGACAATTATTGCAAGTCTAATAGGACAATTGCCAGGCATTGTCAAATGACGGAAAAAACGAGACGCTATTTCTTGTTGCTTGTGGACGGAGGTCCTCCCTTTGTTCCTAGCGGATGACATTATCACTCATATCATTATTGACTGATTCTGAACACACGAGACACGAAAGCGCAACGAGACTTTTCGCCACGCAACATGCTTTTTAGCTGGATACTTGCTGGTCATTACTGACTCAAATCATTATCATAAGCTCTCTGACTCATAAATCAGTCATATCGTATTTATTAAAGTGTATTGTACATCTGCGGTGAAAGTTGCAGTGCATGTATTTTGATTAAGAAGTTACAAAATTTCCGCTGCAAGCAAAAAGGAACCTTCGATCGAAATAAGGTCTTGAAGGACAAGGCGCAGCAGTGAAATTTTCGAAACAATTGGATTTTACACAGGGTTAAAAAAACTTTAAAAATAATAAATGAAGTGTAATTATTCATTTTTTTGTTTTGTTTCAGGGGATGCGCTCGGGAGCCGATTATTCTCGTCTGTGGCGCCGCCATTTGCACCCCTTTCTAGCTCCAACCAACAGTGCAAACTTCACAGTCAGCAGTTTCTCAAGAGGCTCGCGCAGTTTGACCTATGGGCGCTCCAAAGTAAGTTTCAGATACTAATTACTGTATTCTTCGAAAAGTAGTTGGACCGGACGATTTTATCTAAAAAGTGCATTCCATTCAACTATATCGAACTAATAAATTTGGCTATATATGATTATCACCCATGACTTTTTTAACCAACGTGTTTTTTTTTTTTTTTTTTTTTTTTTTTTTTTTTTTTTTTTTTTTTTCCACCCACGAGCGTTTTCATCAAGTTGCAAGTTATCAAAGTTATAGAACCCTCTCGCCGTCATTCTTGAATAACTGGAAACTGGAGTTAGAAATCATGTTCGCCTTCAACTCGATGGATGCAATTTGAGCGGCACAGGAGTTGGAATAGTTGTATCACGCATCTTAAATCAGCATGATGTCCAGGAGCGAGTGACTTTTGTTATAATCTTTGTGTTTTTAGTGACCACTGCAGCGAAGCGTCCATTAAGTTTTACTCGATTCTACCCACCGAAAAATATTTTGATATTGACTTCGAGAAAAGTAGCGAAAGTAAGAATTGAGCATCGCTCTCGTGGACACGTCTGAATAACTATAGGAACTGTAGTTAGAAATCAAGTTCGCCTTTAACTCGACCTCCTCCACGACTTCCAAGGGTAGCATAAAATACATGTAGCGGAAAACTCCCTCTTTGCAAACATGCATGTATGAAACAGTGCATAGGGGTATAAATTCTGCGAGTGAAAAGAGGTGGGTAAATTCGTCGCTTGGCTGACATAAGGGCGTAACTACACATTGAGATGAGCCCGGAAAAGCATTGAATTGTATGGACGACAGGGTTCATTGCAGAGTGTAGTTACGCCCTTATGTCAGCCAAGCTACGAATTATACCGAGGGTGATAAGTCCATGGAGGAGTAGTCCCGGAATCATCCACCCAGGGTAGCATGAAACGTAAGAAAGCAATGGAAAATTGGAAATTTCAGTGAAATATTTCATGAAATATCACAAGGCTGTGAAATATTTCATGTAATTTCACAAGGCTGTAAAATATTTCATGAAATTTCACAAGACCGTGAAATATTTCATATTCTTCAGGGGCGAGAGTATGCAACCCCCACAAAAGTCCCAATTTTTACATTTTGCGAAACATGAAAAGGAATCGGCCGTTTTCAATATCTTTCATAAATCTCTGAAATTGCATGGTATATCTCACGTAAAACCTCAAGATTTTATTTTTCATGAAATTTTGCCACTCTGCATCCACCCCTCAATTAATCGATAACATTGATTTATCGAATCGGTTTCGCAGTTCCGATCTGCAAACAATCAGCCGATTCATTTAATCGATTAAAGGGACTTTATCGAATCGATCTCGCAGTTTCGTTCTGCAAACAATCAGCCCGCTGGTCTTCGGTGGCGTCACATTTGCCACAGTGAAGAAAGCATCCTTTTTGAGTGCATCGGACAAATCCATCAAGTTGCCAGACTTCGGTGCCCGTGAGCCCGATGACTAATGATGTGATTTTTTATCGGATAACGACAACTTTGACGGCGCGTGTTTGTCAACGCTCGCGAGTAAATAAAGGCGTCGTTGAAGTGAGGAAGCACCGAAAATGGACGTATTCATGCTAAAAGGAACTATGTTGCACGCAACCCCCATGAGCATAGGTCCTTTTGGCATAAATGCGTCCAAATGTAGGTGAATGAACGGTGCGTTACGCAATTTCACCAGGAACCGGGGAACGGTGATCGTCGAGTGTCTAATACGGGCAGAATATGGACTCTCATTTGCTCACGCGTGCTCATGCACTTCTTCACGGCAAAATTGGACCACATTTTGCAATTAGGAACTACAATTCCTGGTCCATCCGTAAAAACACTTATGTGCTTTGGGAAACTAGTGGTGCATATGTTGAAGGCAAATAGTCAAACCAGGCATTTTATCAAATGCCTAGCAGGCAAATAGTCAAATATTCTTACTTAGATTGAAATTTTGATTTTTTACCGTTATTTTATAGACAAAATAATTCGTATGTATGATTATATGCTCATCTCATGAGGATGTTTTCCTATTGATGTATGGATGTTGTCTTTTAAACAATTATCGCACACGAAAATTCTATGATTCATTAATTATTTTTCATAGAACTAATGGAATGAATTTAAACGGCGAAAGAAAATCTATTGCGGAAAATGTTTCGTCTTCTACTTGCCAGGTGTGTTTCTATTCAGTTGCTCAATATTACCAGTATCACGTAATGCCCGATTGTACTCATAAGGTACCTACTTAAGACAGAGAATATGTCGACTCAGAGAGGGGTCATCACTCTTCTGGTTAGCAACCGCTTTGGGGCATTTATCACACGATGAACTCCTTTGAAATACTGCCGTGCTAACAGTAAACCTCCTATAAGCTTTCAAACGTTGTAAACTTTTCCTCGATAAATTATGATTTTTCCGAAAACCTGTAAATATTTTTCAATCAAATTTTTCAAAAATGTCACTCGCATTTTTCTCTAACGTATATGATAATTTTAGGGCAAAATATTCATAACCTTCCTCAAAAATTAATATTTTATTGAGAAGAAGTTGGCAACGTTCGAGGACAGATAAGACGTTTTTCCTCAGCGGAGCAGAAAACTCTGCGTCTATTCAAGTTGACCGAGTCTTACCTCATTGCATGAGCGCTGCTTTGATCCTAAAACATCGCCATTACCCTTAAAATTGCACAAATAAGAGGTAGAAAAGTAAGCATCAAGTATTTATGGCTCTTTATCGCACGAACTTCAGTTGCACGTAACCTAATATGTTTCTTTAGTTTCATCCGTTCCGAACGCATCATTATTGTTCCAGCCGAAAGTTTGGTACGATGGACCAAAAATTCGGTTGAGCAAATCGAATATTTAAATGAGATAAACCAAATTCAGTTCTCGGAAATAGAACTACCCGCAATTCAAGAAAATGAACATATCTGTTAGAAATGAAGGCATTTATCGTTCGGTTAAACAAACCAAATTATATGGTTCGGCGGATAAAAAACCCGACAGTTCAAAAATATGAATGTAATAATACATTAGCCAGAAATAAAACTGAGTAGTTTGGACTAGTTTGTGTAAAATAGGTTAATTACACATTCAGCGCGCATCAGACCGAAATTTCAACAAATATTGCTTTCTCTGCAATTTTGTCATTCAATAGCCACACCATAAATCATGTAAATATTATACACGATGCCAGCGAAAATTTTGATGTTAAAAAATTGACCATTTTGACTGCTTTCGCCATGGAGAGACTAATTTTCTACGAATTCAAACTTTTTAGGATAGTTATTGACAACAAAGGCGGAGCAGAGAGAATAGGAAAGGGCACGAGCAAACTAATGGTGTGAGAGCTTGTTGACACTTTCACAATGCTGACAATAAGTCAACGACAGTCATGTGCTCGTATTTTTCGTTTGATAAGTGTCGTTGCCAAAATGTCTCCAATTCCCGACTTCTAATGAGGGTGCGTAAGAGTTAGGGAGCACCAAGACATGTGCTGGTGTTTCGTCGGGTCGACGTCTTGGTATTGCCGCGGTGCATCGCCCAGGGACTTGAACGAACGGAAAGGAAAGTAGGGGCAAAAACGTACGTGCTTTTGGTGTCTTGTTTTTTTTTTTTTTTTTTTTGCAAAAAAGATTTGATAAACATAGATTCTCATAATCAGTCAGATCTCGTATTATGTATCGATGCTTCATCTCTTTCGATCCATCCCCCTTTCTCCTCCCTTAACTATCTCCCTCTTAAATTCCCCTCGCCCATCCCGCTCCCCTTCCCTCCCCTCTCCTTTTCTGCCCTCCACCCTCCGACCCTTTCCTCTCTATCCTTCTCTTCCTTCTGCAACTTGAACACTTGTATTTGGACGTATTTCTGCTAAACGCAACTACATAGAGATAAACGAGTGGGAAAGATGGGGTGTGCTCCGAAAGCTGCGAAAACAATGTAAGAGTAGGCGTGATTTCCTTTGGGGAAATGTAAAAGCGGGACTTTACATTCTATCAAACGGAACTAAACGCCAACTATATGCGACACTCGTGGCCCATGGGCGTGGGAAAAGAGCGTTGTGGACAGAGCTCATGAGTTGAAGCACGTTTCAGGGTGTTGTCGCTCCCGTCATCGCCGATGACGTCACTGTCGCTTTATAATTCCCATTCATTCTTACGATCCGCGACTAATGAGCACACCCCTTCTTTCCCACCTGTCTTCTAGTTCTGTTCAGCAGAAATACGTCCATTTCGCGTACCTCATCAGTGGGTGGCAAGCTCTCGCGCATGCGTGGTTTCATGGCAATTGAATGCGCGTCTCGGGCAGCTGATCGTGCAAAACGTGCCGAGAACGTTTATGAGGGGAAGATCGGCGCCACGCGCCGCATCATCGCTTTTGACGCGGCGCACAATGGATCGAGTCAAAAGGAGACGTCGGACAAAATGTGAAAACTTTAAACGCTTATAACTCCGTTTATACAAAACTTTGAGGTTCTGAAAGTGGTTTCATTGGTTTCCTCGTAAAATTTTCTGCTTAAAGCACCCCTTGAAATGTAAAACGTCACGAAATAAACATAAAAATTTACAGTTTTAGTCAAAAACTTCATGTCTAACCTCCCTTATTGACTCGATACACTGTACGGTGGCGCTTGCTCGGTCCATGCCGGGAACGGCAACTAAACGGAGGAAGAAGGGTTAAGCGATCAGTCACCATGGCATCGGTGACATTAAAACAGCGAGGACGCGCCGCGCGCGGTGCGCGCACGTAAACGATCGCATGGGAACACGCGACCGCTGCGAAATGGGAACGATCATCCATTTCGGCTCGCGTGAATCACTCGCTTCGTGCAGCTTCCGCCCAAACGTGACGAGCTTTTACGCGCCAAAAATACACTCCGAAGGGCTCGTCAGATGTAGAGCACCTATTTATATAGGATAGTATGGGCATGTCGGAATAAGGAGCTCTTAGGGTCGAAGGGCCGATTGTAAGACCTCTGGTCGGGTGCTTGTTAAAGTGATGGTTTGAGCTGATCAGAGCTTGACCAGAGGACAATTATCGTATACATTTTTCAAAATAATCATGATTTTTCATTTTATTAAGTTCTATAAAATTTTGCATCTCTGACTCGCTGTTATGTCAGGAGTCAGCGCCATTTTTTGGTACTTGAGCACGGAAAAAATTAAAATTGCTGATTTAACAAGGTTAAATAAAGTGTCCGACGTGTTTCAATGTAAAATTTACAATAAAAAAATGCTACTTTAACCATCCCCGTGGTTTAATTAGGTCTTCACTATTGTAAAATGTACATTTGAAACATGTCGGAAATATTTTTAACAATTAAATTGTTACATGAGCAATCCAATTTCTTCCGTGAGAGTCTCCATCAGACCAATTGGACCGCGTTTAACAGAGAGGAACCAAGCCAAATCAGCTATTGCCAAATTTAACTGGGCAAGTCAATTTTTTTACGAGAGAACGTTTGTGCGGATTCCTTTGAAAATTTTAAGGAATTTGCTTCGTATTATGGAGAAAATTCACTGAAATTTGCACCAAAATCCACCCAACCGTTTTCATGTAAAAAATTAATTCGCCCAATTAAATTTGGCAATAGCTGATGTGGCTTGGTTCCTTTCTGTTTAACGCGGTCCAATTGTTCATTCTCTTTATGTAAAAATATATCCAGGCTAAAAGTGCCTATTTAAATGATATCATTTGATTTCAGTGTACGATGCGTCTGCGAAACTTCCCTCGGGGATGCTCTCGGGGAACGTGAACCAATACGGGGACTTCGACGAGTGCCTCAAAGTTGAATCACCGGACGGCGCGGTGGCCGGACAGTACTGTTTGAGCTACCTCGAGATCAAGCTCGCGCACAAAGATGACCCCAAGCTCAACAAACTCCACTCCCTTCTCCACTCGCACTCTTTCTTCAAAAGCGACATCGATGATGTGAGTATCGCCTTTAGACTTCATTCAAAACTCATAACAACTACATAATCGTGTTTTATGCCACAAGGAAATAAAGGCACGTGGTATTTCCTGGGTGAAAATTTAGATAACTAAGGGGCTTGGAGACAAGTGGGAAAAGTGCAGGATTTGCTATTCAAGATATACCTCATTGAAGTTTTAAAATTACATGCGGAGCCTTATGGCGGAAAGAAAGTTTAGGCTCCCTTTTTGATGCTTAGAAATTTGATTTTTAGTAATGAATTTTTCTCAGAATATGTTTTGCGACTAGTTTTAGTTGAAACCATTAATTATTCAACTGCACTTATCCTTGTTGCCATTCAAGCTCCGCAATTGAGGATGGCTTCGGTAAAAGGGCGTATGAGACTCCCAATACTTCAAAGATTGTGCAACGTAGATCTTTGATTAGAAGTAAACCTTCCGAATACTCTGTCATGAAGTTTTCAATCAACCGGCTTCGAATTTTGCCTCGCTTTTGCGTGGAAGTATAGGTGATCAACTGTAAATGAGTTTCATTTGCTGAAGATGCTATTGAAAATTTTGCAATCTTATAGCTGCATTCCAAACCTCATGCGTCCTTTTACTGAAAAAGTCCTCAATTGACCTGAAAAGGTATTGGGGTTACTCACATTGCCATTTTGTTTTCAATTTTTAAGGTGAGCCACAAACCATCCGAATCACATGCAGGAATTTCAAGGATTCGCGTCTTGTATTACACAGATCTTGTCCCGCAAAAAACAATACTAAACCCTGCCAGATAATTGTAAAGTTATCTCTGTTTATCTATTCAAGTTTTCCCGATGGATGGTGAATTAATTTTGTGAAAAAATAATTACTTTTGAACTTTTTCCAGGGGAGGCAGTGCTTCCTCCCCCAGCGCGTTTGCATGAAATTCTCCTAAGTGTAAGGGAATTGCAACGCGAGATTGTTCCAATTTCAACAACTTCATTCATTTTGGGAAGAGACAAAATATTTATATTTTATCTAAATCTTTAAATCTCAATCTTTTGTTTCTCCCCAAGAGAATGCAATTGTTAAAATTGGAACAATCTCGCGTTGCAATGCTCATACAATTGCGAAAATTTCATGCAAAAGCGCTGGGGAAGCACTGCCTTCCCTGCGCTGATTTGTTGGGGCTGCTTTGTGGGCTGCACCGATGGAGACAAGGTCTTATCGAATTTTTTTCTTTCTCCGTGTACACTAAATGGCTTCGAGTTGAGCTTTTTGGCAAAACTCTTCCGAAAATGGCAGAACCTGATGGTAATAATTTTTTGATACCGTTTGTGATGCAGCCAGGTCACAGGGTACCAAGGTCCTCCTCGATCAACTGGGGAGTCTGCGCGCCGGCCTCCTGCTCGGCTCAAGACATCCAGGACGAAATTTGGCGGATTCTCGACACATACCTGAGCGACACGGGAGTCAAATACAGGGTCAAAGTTGACCCCGAGATGTGCACGACCCGCCAGCGAATCAACCATCTCCCCACCTCCTTCTTCGTCGTCGGGTGAGCGCATCTCCGAATCATCCGTCACCGTGTCATGGCTTTCGTTCATGAATAATCCCAACGCACATCCTCGCTGCTTAAGTGATCTCGGACTTGAAATCATTTTAAGCGGGCGATTGGCTCTTTTCGGCTCAACTTGTTTGCATTTAACAACTGAGAATGAAGGTCTGCTGAGGATATCACGCTTATCGCTTACAGGGTGATTCAATAGCGCCAGTGGTGATCATTTCAATGCTGTCATTTTATTTTACCAAAGATCCGGGGTTCCCGGAATTCATTCCGATTTCTGAAAGTTCCGAGAAAAATTCTAATTTTTTTCAAAAGTTCCGGGGGAAAAAATCACAAATACGCTCGGATCTAGTTTCGAAGATCTTCTAAGTAGATAAAAAAAATCGGTCGAACTGACGAAAAATCCCGAAATTCCATGAAAATTCCGAGAAATTCCGAAGATTCCGTAAAAAGTTTGAAATTTGGAATTGATTCCGGAAAATGGTAGCACTGGATCATTTTAAGTCTAACTTGCAGTGGCGCACAGTGGATCGAGTCAATTGGAAAGATCGGACAAAATTCAGAAACTTTAAAAGCTTATAACTCCGTGTATACAAAACTTTGAGGTTCTAAAAGTGGTTTCATTGAGTTTCCTCGTAAGAGTTCCCTCTGAAAACATCCCTTCAACTTTAAAATGTGACGAATTAAAAATCGAAATTGCAGTTTTTGTAATAAATTTCATGTTCGACCTCTCTAATCGACTCGGTCCACTGTGTGGCGATTCCTGTAAGTCGGAAACACTATTTTTCTCTATTTAAATGTACGCTAAACAATCTATTAGGTGACGCAGCCTGTCACAACTAGAATCGATGTATTAAGTGAATTTGAATTTAGTATTTAAAGTGTTGCCAACTTGCTGGAATCGCCACTGATAATACTGCGCGGATAAGAGAGAATGTGATAGTTACTAGACTCCTGGTTATTAATGGACTGAATTTTGTAATTAAGAACTATACAATATCTGGCGCAATATCTCAAGCATCTATCTGAACATAGGAACTCATAACCCGCAGCTTTTCCCTAAAATGAGTCAGAAATAGTTGAGTCCCTTACTACTGACTGCAGCTCATATGATCTGTAGGAAATCTACTACCTTCAACCAAGTATAAATTTTCAACTTCAAGACAATTGTCAAAAAGCTTCAAGGCAAGATCATCTCGATACTGCAATAGATTTTAGGAATTCTACTTTATGTTTCACACATTCAATGAAATGCTTGAATGCTATGAAATGATTATGAAATACTTTGAAATCACTCTAGAACCGCATCTGAGTGAAAAGAGGAAGTCAAAAGACAAAATAATCCCTCGCTATTTTCAACGAGGTCAAGTGCACGAAATAATGATTTTCAAATTAGAGTTTTCAAAAATGTTTGTGATGTAGTAATTTTTCTTTACAGTGGCCTCTTCCTTGCTTACATCGGTATGTGCATGTTAGCAGCGTTGTTTGAGCACATGACACCTCCTAGTTTCCAAAAAAGTAAGATTCTTACATATACATTCATATTTTTCGTTTTTCTTTTCCATCCTCTCGAAAGATGTACGATAAGGTAAGATTTCAAAGGTTCACCTTCATCGACGTAACAAGTTTCCAACATCATTCACCTATTCACGCCGTGCCACGGAACTTTCTCGGAAGAAGAATGTATATATAACCAAAAAGAATATCTAGATTTAAAAAATTCTGTACACTTACATGTAAAATTTTTTGACTTCGTCCTCTTTTGTACAACTCAAAGGAAAAAATTAATTATTTTTATTATTCTTAACTGCACATATCGATGGTGTAACTTCCGAGCCACGTATCTCGGATTGCGACGTTAGAGACTTCCTGCCATACTTTAATTTTTAAATAGATCACCACAAAACTGAGATTCATACAAACTGCCATGATTTTTCTTCGCACTCAGAGGTCACAATGGTCTTGAAGCAAAAAAAAAAAAAAAAAAAAAAAAAAAAAAAAAAAAAAAAANAAAAAAAAAAAAAAAAAAAAAAAAAAAAAAAAAAAAAAAAAAAAAAAAAAAAAAGAATCTAAAAACAGTTCGCAAGGGGTGAGTCCATGGTACGTGAGGACTTATACTCGAGAAAAATCCAAATTTTGGCGGATCCTAATTCCGCGATATCACAGTTTGGAATTCTCATAGTACATGCAAGTTTTCTACTGATTTTGATCCTTTTTCATTTATTTGTCCATCGGAGTTGATCGGTTCGCGTTATTTTTCGTTCGATTCTTGTCGATCGAATACACACCCTCTCGTTACATGCAGGCTACCTATCATACTCTTTTTTTTTTAACTGGACAATTCGCCCTCTGCTACGTCTGCAGCAATTGTTGTTACGCATATGTTGAGCGTGCTGATTTCAGCGCATTACATACTCGACTCTCTGAAGGCGTTTTATGTGCGAAAGCAGTTCGCCTTCAGCTGCGTCCGCAGCAATTGTTGTTACGAATATGTTGTGCGTGCTGATTTTAGTTCATTACATACTTGACTCTCTGAAGGCGTTTTATGTGCACAAGTAGCGCAATCTATTAGAGAACGAACAAGGGTGTTAGGGATTAAGCGATTCCTTCAATCTCACTTCTGTTGTTCTCCAACAGGGTGCTCTACTTGCGCACATAAAACGCCTTCAGAGAGTCAAGTATGTAATGAACTAAAATCAGCACGCACAACATATTCGTAACAACAATTGCAGCGGACGCAGCTGAAGGCGAACTGCTTCCGCATATAAAACGCCTTCAGAGAGTCGAGTATGTAATGAACTAAAATCAGCACGCACAACATATTCGTAACAACAATTGCTGCGGACGCAGCTGAAGGCGAACTGCTTTCGCACATCAAACGCCTTCAGAGAGTCGAGTATGTAATGCGCTGAAATCAGCACGCTCAACATATTCGTAACAACAATTGCTGCAGACGCAGCAGAAGGCGAATTGTCCAGTTAAAAAAAAAGAGTACGATAGGTAGCCTGCATGTAACGAGATGGTGTGTATTCGATCGACAAGAATCGAACGAAAAATAAAAACGCGAACCGATCAACTCCGATGGACAAATAAATGAAAAAGGATCAAAATCAGTAGAAAACTTGCATGTACTGTGAGAATTGCAAACTGCGATATCGCAGAATTAGGATCAGCAAAGATTTTGATTTTAAGTCCGCACGTACCATAGACGCACCCCCTGCAAACCGTTTTTGGATTCATCTTAGTCGCATTTTTTTTTCCGCTTCAAGACCAGTGTGAGAAAACTTGTGTAAAAACTTTACGGAATGATGTGGATTTGCTCTCCTCCAAAAATATGAAAAATATAAAACACTGCAAACGAGATACGTGGTTTGGATATCGCACCGCACCGTCGATATGCAACCAGACAGAATACATGTACCGTACCCATAAAAGCAATTAACCAAGCAACCTACGCGAGTTTTTAAAAAGCGCGCTCAAATAGTTGACCTACAACCCCGTCCTGCTCTCTAGTGGCAATCGCTGAACTCATATACTTCTTTGATCCGAAAATTGGCCACCAGAGTGAAGCAGCACATGCAGTTTGGCGAATGATTTCAAATATGATCGGAATATGAACTAGCATAACATTTTTAATAAATGCTTTATCATACCAGCTTAGAGATGTATGAAAGAAAATGGGAAAAAAATCTTCAAGATGCTTTTGCAGTTGTCTTTTTTATTCTAATTTTAATATTCACATCAATATCCTGACCAAAATCTGAAAAATTATAATATATTCAAATTTTTTACTTCAAAAATCGGAGTAAAACGGTTTCTTATTTTTCGTTAAAACTACTTTATCTTGTTAGAGTTTTGAACTAAGACAAATTTTGCAGGTTTTTATTACAAAACTTTTCAGGTCAAAGAGACCAGAAAAATTGAATACATTATGAGACACCCCTCCCCCTCCCAAAGGATGGAAACAATCGTTTGTAATAACATTTTGTTTAAATTTTCAGGTACTGCTGCTGAATATTTTATCTCATTTTCACTGAAAAAGAACTTTAATAAATTATTCAGCACATCGGTCTCTGCAGATGATATCTCAAGCGTTCACGGGATTCGAGCTCTCAATGCTTTGATGTTGATTCTCTGTCATAAATCTATGGCCATGTTTTACAACCCCTACGTCAATAGAACAGCTATGTCAGAGGTACTTTAAACACTTGCTCATACGTACCTTTAGTTTAAAAAAAAAGAACTAAAACTAGTCTCGAAATATATTCTGTGAGGTATTCAAAACTAAAATCCAATTTTTAAGCATTGGTAAGTGAGTTTGAAATTGCTCTCCACCATAAGGCTCCATGAAATTTTGAAACTTACGAATAGAAAATAGCAAAAACTGCAAATATGCACCTTGTCCTTCAAGCCTCCCAACTCAAGTTTTCCCAAACCGTCGATTGATTACATTTTTTACATACTGCCCAAATCATATGAAGAGAATAACTATTCTCCTGTATAAAAAGAAAATAAGTAAAAGGAATTTTGAAACTTTTTTGACCGATTCATTGAATCAATGGAGTAAAATTGAAATTTCTTTTTTGAAGATTTGAATGGGCCTTTCACCAAGTTCTTGCTTCAGACCCACATCATCGATTAAAAGATGACCTAAAATGTTCACTCTAACTTATTTGACATTATTTGAGTGGCTTATAAGTGTAAAAGTTATAGCTCTCTAGATCTAACTCGTGATTGTAAACAAAAGCATATTATGAAGTCTATGTTAATTGATAATTATGGTGATTCAAGCTTTAAGACGTTGGATTTTAATTTTTGTTTTTCTAGTTGATTGGAAAACCATGGACTGCCATCATCCGTGCTGCTAGTCTGTACACTGACCCTTTTATCATGTTAAGTGGTTTGCTTACGTCGTATGTATTCTTCAAACAGTTTGAGAAGAACAAGAGCATCAGCGTACCTAAAGAAATATCATCTAGGCTACTTCGGTAAGTAACCTACTCGTACCTGTTCTTCCCATCTGGAAATTTTAATATAAATGATAGTTCAATTAAAAGAGTCAAGGTGGGGGGGGGGGCGAATTGCATCGCAAAGAATTGAAAGTTCACCTGATAACTTTTTTTATATACATAAAATGGTGCAGGATATTTTATATCAGAAGTATTAGGGAATTCCGTGTCTGGTAGTCCAATATACTTACAAACGTAGCCAACAGCTCAGAGGATTTGAGGTATTTCTTGCAGACCTATACAGAAAAATTGAGTTCAATACATTTCATTTTAATTGAAGGGATTTGATTGTGAAAAACACAAAGCCGAGGTGTTATGAAGATGCTTTTATTAATTCAGAGCCGAAGCTTTTCGAAGCTTTACTCTGAATTGATAAAAGCATCTTCATAACACCTCGGCTTTGTGTTTTTCACAATCAAATCCCTTCAATCTTAAATGGTGTCACGGTGATTTTGCTCGCCTTATTCAAATATTTTATTTTCAAATCATTTATTCAGTTCATCGATGTTGATGCTTCTTATAATTTTCGATACATGCATTAAATTTGTGGCATCCGAGAAAAATCACTTGTCGGAACCGCACCAGATAGATAAATTTTGACATTGAAGACGGTGGAAACATTGAACATCTTGCGTATTGAATTCACAGATGAGACAGAACGTTTTTTTATAATCGTTTTTTTTTCAAAATTCCCGTCATCGAAAAACCAAAGTGAACCTGAATCAAGGCGGTCACAAAATTCATTTCAGGGTGCTTTGCGATTGAATAAGCTATCGCAACTTGCGACTATCTCTTCTAGGGTATAGGGTATTATAGGGACGGTACATACGAGCTTTAGATGTACGTCTACAAACAAACATATCCTAAAAAAAGAAATAATGCGTCAAATTGAAAATAATGCCCTGAAGAGCGCACATCTAAAGATTGGTATTTTGACGAGATTTTTGTCGTGTTCGAGACATTTTTTTTGACGACTGCCCCTAGCAATCCCAAAGCCGGGTCAAATTGGCCCAACTATATCTTGTGGGGGAGTTGCATATATATAGAGGTGTGGAGGGGGTGAGAAAAAGCCAGTGCGTTACCGAAAAATTGAGACATTTTTTTTGACGACTGCCCCTAGAAACCCAAAAGCCGGGTCAAATTGACCCGACTATATCTTGTGGGGGAGTTGCATGTATGTATATAGAGGTGTGGAGGGGGTGAGAAAAAGCCAGTACGTTACCGAAAAATTGAACAGTTCAACAAAAAAAAGAACCGTTTCTTACCCTCAAAAACTTAGGAAGAACCCCAGGATAACACTCCAAAAACTATATCAAAATCGATCTACAAATATGAGTCACTTTGATCCGACTTGGGACTATGCGAGTAGAAGAAGTTCGAAGCATTAAGGGGTTGAACGTGTGTGGATCATTCACTAAGTGTTATTATGTTTTACAGGCTCGTACCAACGCTAGGCGCTCTGATTCTTTTCTGCACCTTTGTCTTTCCTTTCGTTGCCTCCGGACCGCAGTGGAATCAAGTTGTCAGTCACCACGCCACGATTTGCAAAGATACTTGGTGGAGGAACTTGCTATTTATTCACAACTACTTTGGATTCAAAAATATGGTGAGCTAAACCCAATCACCCAATAAATGAGGGCAGGAGAATAACCTGCTTATATTCATACTTAAAACTGTGAGAAATATGATCAATGCAAATTTTCCAGAATAACCGACCGACTTGTGTTTGGTAAAATTGTTAAAACATTGCAAACTTATTAAGCTCTATACGTGTGGAAGATTTTTTTCCCCACTGCGCATGTTAGGGTCTCATAATTGATCATCAAATTGAGTTTGAAAGGATATGAAAGGCGGAATGTAAAAAAAAACACCATCGGGTGAGGAAGAATGATATTCGCACCGTTACTTTTTTACTTACTTATCATTAAATTATTGATCCGGGAAGATCATCGGCTGTTACTGTGTATTTATAGAATTCCCGGGGCTTCCCCTAGATGAGCAATCAAAATATTTCACGAGGTGCGGTCAGGAGAAAATTAAGTTCCGTAAACCTATCTCTGTGTGGACGAGGCCTTACATTTATTAGAAAAGAACGAAAAAATTATGAAAAAATAAACATGAATGTGGTTTAATGATGTTAATTTCCGCTACCGCGCCAACCGCACTGTCTTTGGCGCAATGCCTGAAGTATCCCTACAGTCTTGTAGGCGCTATGCGTTTCGCGCCGACCGCTGCTGACCGCACTACGTTGAACGCAATGCGTGAAGTATTCATGGAGTCTTGTAGGCGCTAATATGTGTTTTATGCCTACCGGCGCGCCGAGGGCTTCTCCTTTCCATCTCAAGTCCGCGTCATCATTGCTCTCTGCGCCGCGCTGCTACAGGCCAAATTACGTGTTTGATTTCTCTCTCAACCAGACTAATGAAAGGCGCTGTCTCTTGTACCACCGAAAGTCGAACAAATTAGAAATTACTTTACTTGAACTTTTAGGAAATGAGAGATTTTTTCGCCTTTTCTCGTTTGTAATTTTTCCTCTGAATCAGATTTTTTCTTGATACCTACATTTGAAAAAGTTGCAACATTTGCCGCCCCCTAATTTTGCCGCCATGGGCCGCGGCCCATGTGGACCCCCTTTAATCCGGCCCTGAGAGGCACATCAACACATTACCGAGTTATATCAAATAGGTGTTGATATATCTTTACTCTTGCTTATTAGAAATTCTTTGACATGAGACCATATGCATATCTGTAATCTGTGATGTTTATTATGTTTTTACAACCTTTGAATCAGCTGAATTTTCTTTAGAAAGGCTCATTTCAGAGGAACGAAAGTTCATGCACGCGGCGCACAGTAGATCGAGTCAATCAGAAAGGTCGGACATGACATTTTTGACCAAAACTGCAAATTTTGATGTTTAATTCGTCACATTTTAAATTTTGAAGGGTATTTATAGATGAATATTTCACGAGAAAACCGATAGAATCATTCTGAAAACCTCCAAGTCTTGATTTAACGGTTTTAAAAGCTTTTAAAGTGCCCAAATTTTGTCCAACCTCTCCCATAGACTCAATTCGCTGTGTGGCGGATGAGAGCGAACCAATTAAAACTTCTTATTGGTTTCAAAAATGCTTCCTCGAATTTTCTGAAAACGATAACTCGTAGTGTATGATTGATTATTCGTACCCACTATAATATTTTATTTTGTTTTGTTAAATGATTTGTTTCAGTGTTTAACACATACTCATCACATTGGGATCGACACACAACTGTTTTTGACTTCGCCCCTGTTCGTATGGCTTGTTTGGAAGTGGCCAAAACCAGGAATGATCACTCTTTTCGTTTTGGGAGTATTTTCCACCATCCTGCGGTTCTACGCATCTTACATTCACCAGCTTAGTTTATTCGTTTACTATGGCAATCCGTGAGTTAATCTCTAAATCCTCTGCATTGTAATTTTGAGTTAGCTTCAAGATAAAAGTCACGAATTTTGAGGTGGTTGATGGTGAAAGAGGAGCACAAAAATAACACTGTGTCTTGATATTTTTGTCTGTATAGTAGGCAAGGAACATTTTCGAAAAAGAAAAGATTTCAGACAAACACACCACATATCGCTATATCTCTTAGCGCTTACTTTTTGTTGAAAATATTTAACTGCCCATTCTAGACACTCAACAATGCTGCGAATTTCTTATCAATTCTTTTTGGATTTATACATAGGTATTTATGTATTCGTGTCTTAATGCTTTCAGAGTCCATCGTCTATTCGACACTGCTGATCTCTCATACATTATTCCATCCCACCGACTCACAGTTTACTTGATAGGTATAGGTCTAGCTTATTGCCTCAGGAAGTGTGGAAGGGACTTCAAATTGAAACAGGTAAGAGTAATCTCTTTAAAATTTTCCCAATTTTTAGCTGCTTACCTTTTTGTTTTGAGCGGACTAATGTTATTGGTCGCAACAGATGCGTGAGTTTTAGGGCTCTTTTTCTTATATGCATTTGCTTGGAAGTTCATGTAATTTCTTTATAAATCTTTCTTTACATAATGCTCAATGTCTCGCCATTCTTTTTTTAAAATTGTATCTATATCAATCAACATCAGCTGTTGCCAAAATTAAATGGGTAATTTAATTTTTTACATTGAAACGGTTGTTCGGATTTTTGTGCACATTTAAGTGAATTTTCTGTATAGTACGAAGCAAATTTCTCAACATTCTCAAAAGAATCCGCTCAAACGTTCTCGAAAAATTAAACTGCCCAGTTAAATGTGGCTATAGCTGATGTGGCTTGGTTCCTTCCTGCTGAATGCGCACCAAGAAAAAACTATGGCTTATAAACCAATTAGTATGAAACACCATTAATAGTTGTGTATGAACTAATGATTATTGGTCTGTGGACCATACGGTGGTAGCCTGTACCATAGTTTGGTATATATACCATAACTAAGGTATAATGTACCATTGTTATATGTTGCTTTCATTACTATTAGTGGTGTTCCATATGAACCACTAATTGGTTTATAAGCCATAGATTTATCTCCGTGCGGTCCAATTAGCTCGGCCCCGATGAGACACTGAGGAAATGCATATTTACGACTACTTGCACAACTGCTACTATTATCACCTCTGGTACTCGCACCTGATCTGTTTATGTTTCAACCCCACCCACGAACATACGCTTAGTTGTCTCTTTAACCCTCCTCCTCTGCTCCCTCTCTTTTTTGCATATTTTTTATCTCCATTCTGTTTTCACTTGCCTCGTTTTACCAGCGATAAAAATGAGTTTCCTTATTTCAGAGTCACCTGTCACTAGGATGGCTGATAGCATTGTGTATGCTCTACTACTCCTTGGCGAGCCCGTCGAAGATGGGCGATCAGAGCTACGTCTACGACAGGTGGGACGCCGCCAACTACGCGGCCTTCGCTCCGATCACTTGGTGTCTCTACTTCGCCTGGATCATCTTCATTTCGCATACGGGCAACGGAGGTATGCCTTCTCATATTTTTAATCGTAAAAATCTTATGAAGAAAGTAAATAATTTAAGAAAAAAATAAATTGCAATTAGAAATATACATGAATTCCATAGCTTACGGCTCCGAACATACGTCAGATAGGGACGCCTGAGAAATTGAAAGACGAAGAGGAAGAGAAGGAGGAAGCAGGGTGGAGGNAGGAGGGTAGGAGAGAAGGATGGTAGGAGTGGAGAATGGTAGGAATGGAGGATGGTAGGAGTGGAGGAAGGGAGGAGGGTGGGAGTAGGAAGAAGAGAAAGATGGGGCTGGGAGCGAGGAGGAAGAGGAGGAAAAGAAAAAGTAAAAAAGAAGAGGTGAAGGGGAAAAGATAGAGCGAAGAGGAGGAAACAGTCGAGAAAGATAATAATTATCTATTTGTCCAATTTTTTCCTGTTCTTTCTCGTTTCTCATCTTTTTTTCCCTACCACTCTTCTTTTTTCTCAGATTATCTCTCCCCTACTTTACTCTTTCCTCCTCCTCCTCATTTTTGTCTCCTGATTCTCCTTCTTTCAATTTCCTATGAATTTTTAACTGATAATTTTGGGAGTCAGCTGAGATCTGAGTCTGATAGCGTGGGATCGAACAGGAGAAACCTACCTAGATCGGGAATTTTTTTTTAAAAAAAAAAAAAAAAAAAAAAAACTAAGAGCAAAAACAAGTTATGGTGGGTTGACATCCTCAGAAAACACTATTCTAAATTTTGCCTCCATGATCAGAACTTAGATTACCGCATTGAAATGCGTGTTGCATCCTTGTTTCATTGCTTGGCATACCACAGAGAGTTCTTCAAGGAAATCGCAAAATCTGATTTTCCGACGCGACGCAACCAAAATCGTCCTGTCGAAAATAATCCCTATGCTTGGACGCTCACGATTCGATGGCCAAAATGCGAAACCGCGTATCTCCCTTGCAACGGTGCAGACTTCCTGTCATCGGAAAATGAGTCAATTTCATTTTACGAAAGTTTCCTTGATTTTTCTCCTTTATTAACAGAATATTTCGTAGAAATTTCAAATTATAGTGTTGCCTTGTCTTGCCTCGAAAAAATCAAACAGAAACAGAGATTTTGAAACACCGCAATAGAAGTAAGATCGTGATTTCGCACCTTAGCCATCGACATTAGGCATTCGCCTATAAATAGACGTATTTCTGTCAAACGGAACTATGTGCATTAAGACATGAGCCCTGAGACCCATAAGAATATGTGCATAACAGGGCTCACGTCATAATGCACATTCTTTCGTTTGATAGAATTACGTCCAAATAAAACTCAACACGCAGGCTGCTTAATCTGAGAAAAATTGCAAAGGTACGTATTTAGGTATCTCTGTTTTGTAAAATTGAGTCCAGTACCAGTTGAGAGGCCAGTTGGAGGACAAGGCTCATAAGTGCAGTTTTTGAAATAAAATGAAATATTAATGATTTTAAGTAAAACTAGTCCTAATGCATATACTGTGAAGAATCCACTCCCAAATTCCCATTTTTAAGCGTCAAAAAGTCAGTTTGAACTGTCTTTCCGCCATGAGGATCCATGTAATTTAGAAACTTCAAACACCTATATTTCTCGAAATAGGAAAAACTGCACTATGCGTCTTGTCCTCAAAGCTCCTTAGTTCCTGTATCTCTGTAACTACTTTTTCCGGTAAGCTCTTCAATGATGGCGTTTTTTTCCTCACATTTATCCCCCTCACTTTTCTCGCAGGGATCATGGGCCGAGCTTTATCGTGGAAAGGGTTCGTAATATGTACAAAGCTCTCTTACAGTGTGTACTTAACCCAATTTCCTGTTTTCTTCTACAATGTCGGCACGACGCGGCACGCTGACACGTATCAAGTCTTTTTACTCGTAAGTGACTTCATTTATTCTTTAGATGATAAGCTGTGGTAATTGACATTTCATTGCTTCCTACTGGAGACGAGCGTTACCCGTTCTGCCGTGCTAAGGAAAAACGCCGCATGAACCTTCAGGCGTTGTCAAATTTCTTTTGATAAAACACGATTTTCCTGGTAAACTTATGAATATTTTCCTTCCAACTTTGCAGATAATTTTGTTCACAATTTCATCTAAAGCCTCTGAAAATTTCAAGGGAAAATATTCATAACATTCCTCAAAAATAAACATTTCATCGAAGGAAATTTGGCAACTCTCGAATGTTCTTACGGCGTTCTTCCTTAGCACGGCAGCGTTGCTTCCTTTCTTTCTAACTTAGTCTCAGAGGAAACAAAAAACAAGGGTTTGGTTCCAACGTTCGGACGTTGGAGAGCGATCACCGCACGAATCTTTTGAATTTTTACCTGGCAAAATTCAGACAGTCCTGCATGCATATAAGCGCCCAATGCTGGAAAAGAGGAAATTTCTGACAATTTCACATTTCATTGTCATGTGGTACCCATAAGGATCGAAAATCAATAAAAAAATTCGTTCACATAGATTACTCGATTGACTTTTGAGGTTTATAACGTAGACACTTTACAAGAATCCCCCTGCATACAGGACCGGATTAAGGAGGCGGCAAAATTAGGGGGCGGCAAATATTGCAATTTTTTTAAATGCAGGTACAAAAAAATCGGGTTCAAAAAAAATTACAAACAAGAACATGTGACAAAATCTCTCATTTCCTGAGAGTTCATTAATTTCTAAATTTGACGTATTTCGGTGATACAAAAGACTGCGCACCTTTAATTAGATGAGTTAAGAGAGGAACCAAACACGTAATTCGGCCTGGAGCGGCGCGGCGCAAAGAGAAATGATGACGAGGACTTGAGATGAAAAGGAGACGCCCTCGACGCGGCGGTCGGCATGTAACACATATTAGTGCCTACGAGACTGCATGAATACTTCGCGCATTGCGTCAAACGCACAGTGCCAACAAGACTACATGAATACTTCCCGCAAAGCGCCGAACACAGTGTGGTCAGCGCGGCACGGCGGCGGAAGTTAAAATTATTAAACCACATTTATGTTTGTTCTTTCTTATTTTTTTAGTTAATTTTTTACAAATGAAAGGCCTTGTCCCCACAGAGATAGGTTTACAAAACTGAACTTTTGCTAGTAGTGTTGACAGGGCTTACGCAAAAATGTGTCCAACACGAGTGAACGCGTCTCATGCACCCTTCTCCTTCCGGCACGTTCACTTTATGGTTTTTATTGATGTTTCACAATGAATGAGAAAAGGGCGGCAAAATACAGGCGGCCCATGGAAGGCAAGTAGGTAAATCCGGCCATGCTTGCATAATAATTAATAATATCATCATCCTCCGGTCAAAGTATCATAAGCTCCATGCGACGTTTCAAAATTTCCGCCGCCATTTTATTTTTTTACAGAGGTATTGTTGGTTGAATTTGTTTGAAAGTTTCACTGAATTTTATCGGCAGTACAAAAAAAAATTAGTGAAATTTTCGGACAGATTCATAGAACAATTTCTCGGTAAAAAAATAAAATGGCGGCGGAAAGCTTGAAATGCCGCATGGCACTTGTGATACTTTGGCCGGAAGATGACGATATATGTATTCTTATGAGACTTCAAGGCACAATGATGGCGCTAGTTTCAGTTTCCCAGTAAAAAGAATGAATAATAGGAGGGAATATTCCAGAGTCACATGTAGCGAGGCGAAATCAGAATAATACTGTTCGATTAATCTAATTCGTGTGATGATTTAAAACACTTTTTTTTCAAAATTTTTGTTTCAGATAAACTTCAAAGAGCTAATATCAATAGCTGTTGCGTCGATAGCGTTAACAATACTGTTCGAGATTCCATTCCAGAATATCAGAAGTATCATATTCAGGGTGCAACCAAAGCCTGCAGTGAAGAGCCAGTGATCCTCCTCATGATGTTCCACTTTCAAGTTTCACGCAAGAATCGTCGTTCAAACTGATCGGCACCGCTGATCCTTTCGAACTGAATTCATACCAACGTGGAAATTGGGGAAAAGTGACTGAATCTCGCTCTATCTCCTGGAGAACGTCTCCGTCGTGGTTCAAACTAAATCAGTTTCATAACTAGCAGCGGTTCTCATAAGTTGGTGATATCATATTTCCAACATGAAAAGCTGCTCGTAATTTTTTTTCCACACAAGAGTAGGTGCTTGGTGTTGAGGCTTGGAATCCTTGCTGCGTTTAAAAATGTTGATTTTTGAATTGAGTCACTTTTCTGGGACGAAATCCGCAAGATAAGATTATTTTCTTTTTATAGAAGAATGCAAAGATACCTTGAGTGCCGATTTTGTTTTACAAGAGGTGTGACATCCTTTCACTTCAAATGAAACCTGAAATGAGACTTGTGTTGCACCACTTTTGTAAAAGTGCGTTTTTATCCGGCGCGAAGAGCCATTGGTCTCCGTTTTTCTATCAAAGGCGATCTAGAATCATGTGGAGTTGTGGCATTCGTTCGAGACGTGTAATCTAAAGCTAAAATAGAATACACGTACCTCTATTGCAGTGTTTCAACATTTCCGTTTTTATTTTTTTATTTTGATGACTGACAAAGCAATTTCACACTTAGAAATGTACGTAGAAGATTCTTCGAAGAGAAAAGAAAAATCACAGAAATCTTAAAAAAGTCGCGTCAATCGGTTGTCTGATAAAAAATAAAGTAAAACGGATAATTTGGAGCTTTGCAAACGAGGAAACGTGGCTTCAAAGTTTTGCTATTACTATCTATCTTCAGCTTATCTTCCATTTCAAAATATACTTTTAAAGTTAAGGGAGAAAGTAAATTATCAAAATAAATGAACGTCGATAGGAAGCCAGTTGTGCCAAAGAAAAATATTTTTTATTTTTTAAAAAACTGGATTTTTACAATTTACTACAGGACTAAGAAAACGTTAAACTTTCTCCCCATTCCACGCTTAATTTCTAGGTTACTCTCTAGTAATTTTTGGTATTTAAATTATGGCCAATGCTTAAAACGATTATAAAGTATTATGAAGCAGATCTCAGTCAATTTCTGGATTCAAATTTAGTAGTTTACATTAATATTTTTCTTTTTTTTACATTATTTATTATAAATTTTTATTTATTTTTATTTTATACTCTCTATGCCCCTTTGGTTGAATGTCTTTTGACTTAAGGGATTTCTGGTTCATGACTTGATAAAACTATTTGACAAATACTCAATTTGATTTTGAGGAAAATGTTATCAAAATTTGATGTAATATGGCATAATGACACAATTTTTTACGTAAAAATTCACGATTCACCGATCATTTCCTGATATTCTACAGTTCATCTCTCTTTTTCTTTTTCTTTTCAACGGGATATTTCATCATCAGAAATACCTTGAGCTGGTAGCCCCTTCATTCAAAACGTCAGTTTAATATAGTACTTGTCACGACGAAGCAATAACAGTCCCATCGTCCCAGGGACGTATAAAAACTGCATTTAACTTGAACAATTTTTTCCTTAACACTTTAGGCGTTAAAATTATTTATTGTACATATTAGATTCATAATTGATAGATATTTATTGCTATAATTTTTGTTAGATTGTATATTCGATCAGTGTTTGTATGTGTTTTGTGAAGTGATAGAAGAAGAAAAAGTAAGATGCGAACATAAATCTTGCGCTTATTCCAGAGGTTAGGACGTAATTTGAACTAAAAAAATCGGGCAAAATAGGTATGGAGACAACTTTCCCTCATCGATCTAAATAATTCAAGTGGGATTGAAGAGGTTTCTGAAAAAGACCGCATTAGAATTTGGGATGTGCTTGTTTCTTTAAGTGGCAGCAATTTTTATTAAAATTGATTTCCATTATTTCGTGTGAAAGAAATTTCTTTGCGGCTTTTCTTCAACTTGTGATACTCATTTCAATTAAAAACGATTGAATACAAGCATAATTTCGAATCACAGAGAGTGCACGCAACACTAAGTTGTAATTAAAATATACATCGGCATGGGGCTATGAAAATCACGGTTTAGTTTCAAAGCCTGCCCTCCCTTTTGCCTTATTCCCGTTTCTTTGCCAACCTACCACTTCCCCTCTCTGTTTCTTGAATTTCGTATTCTGTTTGAAACGGTCTTTCAGAATCACCAAGTTATCAAAAATTGTAAGCTGCAAAACAAAACCGACGAAAATTTCAAAAATTTCAATTTTTTTCTTCTTTTTCATTGAAAGATACGGATGTTCGATCCAGAACTTTAATTTTATAAAAACCAAAGAGGAGTTCTAGGACAATAGATTTCCAAATTTCGTGCCTTGTAATATGCAAATGTTTTGTCAAAAATGTGTTAAATTCATTTGCTTCCTTCTCGTACCTATTGCAGTGCTTCATCCTAAATATTTATTTACGTCCCCCTGTGTTTTCGTTTTTTACTTGCTTTTCTTCAAAAATCAAAACCGTGTAAGTGCCTAATAAATAGAATGTTTGTTCAGCCAAATATATTTGTAAACTTTTACGAATTTGTGATTCTGAATAAAATTCATTTTTCTATTAGACGAATCAATGTGATTTGGGACTTTTTGTTTATCCAGTTTGTATAGCTTTCTTAAACCATTCCGTAGACATTTGAGCAGGGTACAACTTCATGTAGAATACGACGGACTCATGAGTTGAATTTTTTTTTTTTTTTTTAAACATTTTATAATCATACTCCCCGCACACAAAAAACCATGGTCTTTTCAAACTAAAATTGAGCACCAAACTACTTTCGGTGTAATCACTATATTTTACGATGTCTGCATACTAGCTAGTTTTTACAAAATGAAAAGTATTGTAGTAGAAGAGGAAGGAGGTTTGGGTAAGACGAGGCCCTAGTTATTTTCCAAACGTTTCAGCTGACTTCTGAGCCAAATTTGGCCTAAGTTAATTATGATTTTTTGCGAGGAGCAAGTTTGAATTTACTGTTTATATTGTAAACTACGCGTGTTTATTGCTGACATAGTCGTTTATTTTGGAAGTTTTTGATGAGTCCAACTTGTTCTGCGTGAGAATTTGATGAGATCAACTGAGCTGTAGTGTTTAATTTCTTACCCTGTTTAGTGGTCCATTGTACCATTTCTCGACGATTTTGTAGTGTTAACGGTCACCACACTTGGATGCAGGGTGGAACGTAAGAAAGGTATGAAACATTAGAAATTTCTATGAAACACTTCCGGCAATTTCACGGGCCTATAAGCTTAAGAAATTTATGACATTCTTGAAGCGAATTTTTCAGGGACTACTTACGTATATGTATACAAACCGCACTTAAGTGCAAAGAAACCTTGATCATCGACACCTCATTCTCAAGTCTAAATGCCTTAAATTTCAAAGATTTCTAAAATTTCCGGAAATATTTCAAGAGAAATTTCATGATTTAATATTTCATGAAATTTTGCCACCCTGCTTGGATGAAGGTAGCTATTATCGTCATGGCTAATTATTATTAGGAAGAGGAGCCAATCCAAAATAAACATGATTCTAGGAAACATTCTCTAATTTTTTTCAATTTATCTACACATCATACAAAGGGCAAATCTGCGCATAAAAAATATTGAGGAAACATTCAATTGATGAATGAACAAAAACAATCACAACAATGTGTCTAGCGAACTAAAATAACATCTCAAACGTAAGTAAATAATAGAATAAATAATGTTACCTAATTGAATTGACAAGAATGACAAAAATAAATAGTTTTAGAAATTACGGGGTAAGTAAATAAATAAATCAATAAATAAACAAAGGGTTTCAAGCATAAACGAGTTAAGTGTACAAGTATTGAAATTTTTTCACGATATTCATCTCGTGTGTACCTCACCTGACAAAATATTTATGAAATTAAATACTACTTTCGTCTTTCGCCTCAATTTTTGAATTCAAGGATGAATACCTTCCATATTATTTTTCAGCTTGAGTTGAGTTTTTCGTACAACTGTCCCGTAATTTTTGAATGTTAACTTAACTCCTTCATTCGTGATACCCTTTAAATAAATTAATACATGACTAGAAAAACAAATGTTTCTAAATATTCACTTAACCCCTTCATCCTTGACACCCTTTAAATAAATTAATACATGACTAGAAAAACAAATAATAGAAAAAATGAGTCAAGTGATGATCAAAAGCGGAAAAAGCAGAAAGAGTTTGGAATGGTTGGAATGAAGGATGAAAATTTTAACAGAAAAAACGCCAAACTTCTGTGGAGACAATACATATTCCACTAGTAGGTACTTAGACAATAGAGCCCGTCAATTTTTAGAGTGCATACACAATAAAAAGGGAAAATTCATCATGGCCATTACAGTGTAATAAGTAATAAGCACCTGACTGCTCGCAATTATCCTGGAATGTACAGAAAATTATTTTACCTGACATTTATCAATTTTGAAATTATTGAGGATTATTAAGCGGACAGAGGGTCCCCTGTAAATTGAAAGATGTGAGGAGCTTCTTATACATAGCATACACCCATTCTCATCTTAAAAATTTCGTCGCCGTATGCTACGGTCCCTTTTCTAACTGACGACCAAGAATATAACATTTTATTAGTGCACGAATAAAAAAGGGATGAATACTTTTGCAACAGAAATTGAACAAAACTAAATGTTTCCAACGGCGTTTCAGTTGAAGTAATGCCTTGATACAATTATTTGTGTTCTGGAGATGCGTGTCGCATACACAAATTCGAAGGAGATATGGATTTCTCCTCCGAGAGAAAATTTGCGCAGCGTGTACAATAGTACATTCGATTGATTACGAGATGAGCTTTAATGAAACAGATTTCATCGCCACTTTTACTCCTTGATTTCTTGTCCTTTCCTCAATTCTCATAGGAGTATACTCCTATGAGATGTATTGCTCCATATATGGAGTAATACATCTCATTGTCAGCGGCGACTTGTGATGACACGATGCTCGGTCAAGAACACCAAAAGTGCCTTCAACTTTTTGTGTATGCAACACGCATATTTTCAGAGCACGAATAGTTGTATTAATGAACCAAAAGAGTTACGCTAGCTATTGAAATTGTCTGCTGGTCTAATCATGATCACAGCATCACCTCTTAACACGTCTCCTCTTTAAGATTGCACATGCATAAAAGGCGATCTGTACAGTGGAAAATTTACGGATATTGACTCCAGCTGGCCGATTGTGGAAATTGGAACAACATGTGTGCAATAGCACCAAAACGGACTATACACTGTTTCGAAAACTCCTATTTCAGATGGATCTTATTTTCATATTTCACTTAATTATGTTCAATTATTAATATCAGGAGTAAGGCTCGGCAGGTGTGCTTTTACCATTGATAAAATTTTCTGAACCTACACCAGCTACAAATTTCGGTAACCATTTATCATCTTTAAAAATCTACAATTAATGTCAAATCTACAAATGTACAATCAATATAAGAGATCAGTGTACATATAATAATCTACAAATGTATCCCTAAACTTCTTACAGAGTATTTAATTAAGTATCAACAAAATATACTATCCATAAATATTTCCTAATTTGTTTTTTATTTTTCAATTTCTTACAGGGGTAAGACTAGCACGTGTAATACTTGACCTTACACGGTCATTTGACTTAGATTGTGTGCACCAGTCATTGTTGCGATCCAATATGGACACTTTGACATGGAAAGGGGCTAATAAAACAATTTGTCGCATCTCTGAGGTTTCATGTGTTCATGATGTTGAACACTCATAACTTTTGTGGAATTTCTCTTTGATATTAGACTTTCCTCTACACAACAAAATTTACAAAATTAAAGAAAATAACTCTTGAATTTAAGGATTAGTATGAACATGAATGTATAACAGAAAACTCAGTAATAGCGAAAAGTTGTCTCCTTTTGCATATTGGGAACATTAGCTTAAATTTTGATTCAAGTTTTTTTTCAATCGGTAAAAAATATCTTAAGTTCCTTCCGGTATTATTATTTAACTCACATTATAATTACCTTAAATTTCTAACAGAACATTTTACGGGGAAATACGAGGCGAGCTGGTAAATTGCTTCAGGAATGAAAACAGCTACCATTTCGAACAGCGAGATTTTTTGAGATATTCTACAGAGGGGCAGAAAGAGAGAGGGGGGCAGGAGAGAGAGACTACAACGCTCTTTACAGAAGATCTTTACAAGAGATCTAAACAAAGGAGGATAGAGTTAAACTCAGATTCTCTCGACGAGACGAACACAAATGAAAAACTTATTTTTCCTCATTTTGATATTTTTTCTCTTATTTGATATATCTCGAAAGTTAGTTTACTGACCAATTCCGACACACCTGTAATGTTCCAAATATTCGCAGGAAAAAACTAGGCGCATTTTAAATTTCCTGACTCGGTGGGAGTATCTGACATTAAGATTGACTGGATATATGTGACTAATTAATTAAATAAAATATACATATATGCATGTTAGACGTATTACTAGGTAAGGCAACTAACAGTGATTCAGTAATATACAATGATCATTATTTTGGACGATCCTGATTTTATTTGTTTATTCATTTGTTTTATTTATCGTAGTTAATAACATGTCACGACTTCTCCAGAAATCACTCCTCCTCACCTCTTCTCACGCAATATCTTCACTACTTCCGTTCATATTGAAAGTTTCCTTGACTTCTTTTTTGTGAAAATTGAGTTTTTAGCGGGGGGTGATAAGTTCTATAATGTTTGTTGCCTTTTGCAACCAGTGATGAATGCAAGATAGTTAAAGAAAGCTATCATCCCCCTCTTGCTACGAGGGGCGGTGTAGCTAGGGGTGCTATGGTGCTTCAGCGCCACAGAAATTCTGACGGGTGGCTCAGAAAACCCTGGCAAGATTCATGTAGGGGCCCCTCAAACTTTAAAACCCAAATAGGAGGACTTTTGGTCAGTTAGGGGGGCTCCACCTTAAAATAGGGGCCGCGAAAACGAATCAGCACCCCAAGAATTTTCGAGCCAGACCGACACTGCTCACCGAAAAAGTATGAAATGGGAGTTAAACAGTGGCATGGCGTGCTTTACAATATATCAATTCATCTGGCATTGAAGCCTCTGTAATTAAAAATATCGATTATTCAGGTGTTTGAAACGAACACCATAATAGTCGATTTCCTTACCACAGCTTCAATTGGGGAAATATCTATAATCGATCATTCACGCCTCGACACTGGAGTTAAAAAGAAAAAAATGTATCAAGCACATTCGCTTTGTAAGCTTATCTATTCCTGAACTCGCCAATGTTTGTTATAATATCAATGAGCGATACAGTAAGTAAATATCAAAAAATAAACAAAAAAAAAAAAAAACATTGTAGAGAACGTAAAATGCAATACATGGAATGTGAAAGTTTTGACTTATTTGCACAACATTCAGCACACGTGTTTGTAATAATGGAATATAGTCTCAAACTATTGTCCTTCCGTCAGTGGATACGACATTTGGATTGCATTTTGCAAGAAAGAACCAATAGCATTTCAATGTAAGATTTTGAGACTCTTTTTACCTTGCAAATATAAATGTATCATCAAAAAAGTTTTATCTTTACTCCAAATAATCTTTGTGAATTTAAATTTTTGCATGATTTAAGTAATTATTTACAAAAAATGTAAGTTGCACAATCCTGGTACCATTCGAATGCTCTTGGTTCCTTTTTGAAAAATTCAATCTATTCACTACTATACATATGTATGAGTAATGTGTAATATGCATGAGTCAGAATTTCAATCTCGGCAATTATTCACAACTTTCAAAAAATAGTCAACCCACCCACCCACCCACTGGCGCTATTATTTGATGTTGAAATATCATATGTTCAGCTTGATGCCACAAGAGGAAGGTAATAAGAGGACATGAGGAGTTCTTTCTTTTTTTCAGAGACATGAAAACTCTTATGAGGAAGTCAAGTTAACCACAAATCATTCTGTGACATTCTTCAACTACAAGGGCCGTCGAGAAAGTAAGTTCAAAGATTATACTTTTTTTAAATTATTAAAATAGATACAGAGAGTCGGTAAAATATATCTTTAGGCCACCGTATTGAGCTATCCTACGAGTTATAGAACATTAAGAAGATGGTTTTAAGCAAACGAGTCGTGTTTACATTAAGAGTTTAAGAAGAAAAAAAATACTTAAGTAAGTGCAATTTAGCACGGTATAGGAGGCCAATCCTGCTATGTTTTAGCATTTAATGGTTCTTTATTGTATTTTGCAAGAAGCTCTACCTTCTTCGAATTACTTACTTAAAAATTGCGACAGATGTAGTAGTTCACGTGCCAGTGGAATAACAAACAATGGGAAAGGATGGATTTACAGGATGTTTGCGACGAACCCATTAATAATCGATTCTTTACCACAACATCAAATGGGGGAATATCGATACTCTATAATTCACGTCTTGCCACTGCTGTGGGACCTGCGCGGAAAGGAGTTGAGCTCGAAAACTCCTCTTTCTTTGAATTCTAATCCACCAAATTAACTGTTCTAAAACTCATCAGAGAGCTGAAGGAAGGAGCTTTCAAATGTCACTACGTGTCTGTATCTACAATAATCTTAAGGATATCAAATCTTTGAACTTGCACTCTCGACAACTCTCAAGTTCCTCGTAAGCTTTCATTGATTCATCAAAATTTTCAATTAATCTAAACTGTATAATATATTGAGTGAATTGATCAGAACAACATAATTGAAGTATCATCTTCACAATGTGTAGCATTATCTTGTTCAATAAATTGATCGTTTTACTTTCCTTTTAACTAAGCATATACAATAAAGTCAGACCATTGAATTAACATTAAAGAGGAGAGAAGTAAGGATGATCAAAAGTACTTGAGTTCCAAACTCTCAAAAAACTACACTCCTGGTGAATATATATGAACAAGCAGATACAATAATAAATTAAGAAGTAACACAAGTGGTAAAAATAAAGGTATTCATGACTAGCATTAGCTTCATAAATGAGCCTAAGAGACCATTTAAAAATGTTACCGATGATGTAACTTTTGAAAATTAAGTACATATGAAAATAGTCACAGCCACAGTTAAAATTAACTACTTATGGAATTTCATTTTAAGAGATCGAAAAAATCTCAAGCCGAGCCGAGTTCGACCAGAAAAAATTTGTACAAAAATCTCATCAATTTGCCTGACGCACAAGAAGAGATCAGGTCCAAGACTAGAGATGAAGAGAAACTTATATTGACTAGAAAAGTTTAGAAATACAAGAGTAAATAAAAATAATGACTATCATTGGGGATTTAAAATACATATTGTAGAATGACTTTCGCACACGTACATCTAATCTCCATTTTGGAAGTACCATTGACCTTGTTAATGAGATTGCCCGACCACTCGCCATCTCAATATGAAATGTTAGAATAAAATATAGAGAGCGAGATTTTAAGCTCAGATTACTCTTTTTGGCGATGCAAAACCAGATTTTAAATACATCAGTTAAAAGTTTAAATGAAATTACTTAGTTCCCGTATAATCCACAGTTTGCCCACACTTAAGTTTTTATAACGATGAAATCAAAGCTTTTCTCGAACTGTTTATCTTCTGTGATTACTTTGCTATTTTTGCTGTTCTCATACTTTCATGCTGGAGCAAGGTGCGTGTTTTATTCGGCTGGGCATATAGCTCTCTCAAATTGATATCATCAAATATTAAAAACATTTGAAAATTTGCGTATTTTGTCCGCAAATTTCATTTATCAAGGCACGGCGGGAGAATGACCAATACGTCACATAATTTGCCACAAACGCTCTTAATTTGGACCGGGTACTCAAAATGATGGTAATGAAACTTTGATAAGTCCGCGGGAACAATGTTATTGATTTTCCCTTTTCCATTGGATCGATTTTCCGACAGCACCCACACCACCGCATTCAAAGATCTATTAAGAGCAAAAAATTCTGCATGACTGCTTTGAAATCGTGGTTTTTTCAGCTAAATGTTTCTGAGTCAACATCCATTCTATTTGCAATGGATCTCAAGAGTTTCTTCCCTATAGATTGAAGGTATAAAATTCATCAGTTAAAACTAATATTCTAACAAAATGTTACTTTAAATCAATCAAAAAAATGACGATTTGACGTACATCAACCAGAATTTTAAGCCAGTATCAATAATTAAAAGAAAAGTTGTTTAATACACTCACCAGCACAGACTGAACGAGTTACTCGAGTTATTCGGTTCATCACATAAATGGACGTATTTCTGCCAAACGAAACTATGTGCATTGTGACGTGAGCCCTGTCATGCATATATTCTTATGGGTTTTAGGGCTCATGTATTAATGCCCATAGTTCCGTTTGGCAGGAATTCGTTCAAATGACCGATAAAAAAAGAAACTACTAAAACGTTGGAATAACGTGAGTATCAGCGCGGGTGTGTACATTAAAACAAAATTTCTTAACTAATTTCTCGAGAAAATCCCCAAAAGAGGAAGACTTCTGAGCATGATAAATGTTCCGAACTTTCATAGAAACTTAAATGCGCACAACCAGATGTTATGAGAAATTAGCGTGAGGTTAAGAGACACATGGGCTGCACAGTTTTACAGTGCAGACGCAACATTGAGTTGAAATAAGGTTGACACACAAGTGCTTGCTGACTTTTTAAAGTCCTGAATATTATTAGAAATTGTGAGTTTTGTCAATATCGGATAGCACACAATTAATTGACGATAAAAAATCCGAAAAATCCGTCCAGATTTTACTCTATTAAGTATAGTGCCTAGCGCTGCTTTAAATAAATACAGTTATTTTTATTACTCTGCATTCAAAAATGTATGTTCGTAAATGTATGACTCTGGGACCACTAGGACACAGGAACTATCGAGTCTTCTTCAAAATTCAAAAGGACAAATAGTCTTGGAACAAAAGTGATTGAAAATTTAAAGCCATGATCAGTACCACTCCTGTAAAAACCCTTTCATTCTGCCTGATACATTCCAACCGTACGACAGCCGAAGTGTCCCTTAACCTCGTGCAGTGGCAATTCTTCCGATTTGGCAACACTGCTATCCCTCCATTTAAATCCGATGTGATCGATTTTTGGCGAGGCAGCATGAGCCGCATGGAATCGATCGATATCGATTATATTACATACATTTAAATTGACGGATCCCAGTGTTACCGACCCTTGGCGGATCCAGCAAATTGGCATTATTGTCTTTTCTCCATTTACATCTACGGAAATGTATCGATTCTTGGAGAGGCCAGGTACTCCGACAAGAATCGATTGTTTAGCATAGGTTTAAATGAAGAAAAAGCGGTGTTGCCAAATTGCTACATCCGCCTCTGTTACCTGCATTGAAGAATCAGCACCGATCTCTCGAGTAGAAATCCTAGCTGGCTAAATTGCACGACGATGAGGGCGAGATTCCCTCGAAATAACAATAACAATTTATACAAGTTGTACTTTAAAGTGGTGGCGGTTGGGGCTCACAAGAACACCAAGTGCTGGAGCGCGTAGCCGGCTGTATGTCACAAGTCGTGGTGTTGGCCGCCCAGGTTGTTGGGCGATGGCTGGTCGTCGGAGAGGGCGCCCATCCCGAGGGCGCCCATGCCCACACCGACGCCCACTCCGGCCTTTGCCGGCTCCTCGTCCTTCCACTTGTCCATGGAGCGGCGCCGCGCATTCATGAAGAAGTTACCCACCGTCGTGGGCTCCAGTCCGAGCTGCCGGGCTATCGTCACCTGCATCTCCTTCGAAGGCCTCTTTGTTTCCTGGAATCACAAAATTCCGCGTCATTTTATAAAATTCAAAAAAACTTTCGTGAAGATTTATTTTAAAATGTTGAGGAATTACCTTCGTACCTGGGTGGAGACGAAGGGGACGCCCGGTGAAAGGTTGGCGACAGGGGGTTATGGATGAGATGCGGGAGTGCCAACTCCTTGATGATCTGTGGGCGGACCGAGTTTTGTGGCGTTTAGGCGTCGCAGAGCGCCGGAGAGCGCTGTGAGAGCGACTCCTATGTATGTACCTTCGTGCCATGGAGAAAATTTATTCAAATTTGCACAAAAATCTGCACAACCCTTTTCATGTAAATAACTAAATCGCTTGATTTTTTATAATTCAAAAAATGAAAAAGAATGAGCAAGATGAAAACACTGAAACTATGACCCGATTATTCAAAGTAACAGGATGCTAGAATAGTGCGGGTCCGCACTATTAATTGGACCGCGTTACACAGAAAAGGAACACTGAAAAAAATATTAGTAGAATGTACCAACCCTTCGCGCTGTATTTCACACAGCGTCAATCATTTAGAGTCAATTCTGCCAGAGGAAAGGTAAACGTTACTACATGCTGGTACAGGTAGCTATTCCTCTGGCAGAATCGACGCTGTGTGAAATACAGCGTGAAGGAATGGTAAGTTCTATCAATCTTTCTTTTCAGTGAACCAAGCCACATCAGCTATTGCCACATTGAATCAGCCGATTTAATTTTTGACATGAAAACGGTTGTGCGGATTTTTGTGCTTTGAATACATTTTCTCCATGGCACGAAGCAAATTCCTTAAAATTGTAAAAGAAATCTTCACAAAAGTTCTATTATGAATAATTAAAGTATCCAGTTGAAATTGGCATCAACTGCTTTATTGACTTGGTTCCTTTCTGCTAAAAACGGTCCAATTTTGAGTCTAACGGTTGTATACTCATAGTCGTTCCTTAAACAGCTCCTTGCCTTAGTATGTCTCGTATGGTTCACATTGTCACTAGGAGAGGTTTAAAGTTATCAACATCGCACCTTGTAAAAGGGCCATTTCAACAAGTCTTGAGCAAAATTCCGAAGCATATAACTAGGAAAACTAATTTCTGTAAGGGATAACAAGGATTTGTCATCGGGAAAAATTGTAAATACGAGTAAAGATGAAAATATCCTATGATTTCGGCAAACACCTTTGAAATTTTCAAGATTTTTCAGTTTCTTATGATTTAGTTTTTTTGTCGGTACCTGCATCGTGGGCCGTCACCTAGGCAGGTCATTTTTAACCAATTTACAATTACTGTGACTCGCTTGTTATTGTCCACCTCCAAGATTTCTCCCGATTTCGCTCTATGCCATCAACAACCCCATAAAATTAACATCCTAATACTCACCTTAAATATAGCTTGAAGCGTGCGTCGCTGAAGATCTGTAAAAACTAAACGAGGTTTCTTGGTAGCAGGAGTATGCTCTGACATAATTTGAGGGTCCTCTTTCCGCTTGCAGGCTGCCGAAGCTGAAATGCAAAAACGAAATAATAAAAAATTTGGCAAACTTGACAAAACATACATCGAAATGGGAGATGGAAACTTATCGTAACAAAGAAGGTGGTTTTTATTTCTAATTCCTTACATCGAATATTCATCATCTCCCCGTCATTCTGATATAATCCAGAGATGCCTTAACCACAACTGCGACAACAAACTCACACTCAGAGACAAGAGACCCTCCACTAGTATCTTGGCAATGGTGGAAGCTTTTACTTTCGGGACTTCAGCATTCAGCTGTTGACCTACCTACTTGGTTGATGGCTAACAACGTGTTAGCCGTTTCGTTTTGCAAACAAACCGAAGTTTAGAAAACTTGTTTAACTCATGACGTTACCCAAAGCTCATCATCCGCCAAGTGGTAGGTCAACAGCCGAAAAAAGAGTGATGACTGTCGCTCCCTTATTGTCAGAGACAAGAGACCCTCCATTGGCCTCTTGGCGATAGGTGGAAGCTTTTACTTTCGGGGATTCAAAATTCCTTACGGTCAATTATAAGGGAGCAATAGTCATCACTCTTTTTTCGGCTGTAGACCGACCTACATGGTCAATCAACAGTTTGATGTCGAAGTCCCGAAAGTTAAAGCTTCCACTATAGCCGAGAAGGGTCGGATTTTCCTACTTGCCGCCCATGGGCCGCCTGTATTTTGCCGCCCCCTTCTCATTCGTTTTGAAACATCAATAAAAACCATCAAGTGAACGTGCCAGCGGGAGAGGGATGCATAAGACGCATTTACTCGTGTTGAACACATTTTTTGGGAAAGCCCTGTCAACACTACTATGGCACAAGGTCACGGAACTTTGCGCGAAAGTCAAGTTTCGTAAACCCATCTCTAATGGACAAGGCCTTCCATTCATAAGAAATGAGCGAAAAAATTATGAAAGAACAAACACAAAATTTGGTTTAATGATTTTAACTTCCGCCGCCGCGCCGCGCCGACCGCACCGTGTTTGGCGCAATGCGTGAAGTATTCACGCAGTCTTGTAGGCGCTATGCGTTTCACGCTGACCGCGCACTGTGTTTGTCGCAATGCGCGAAGTATTCACGCAGTCTTGTAGGCGCTATGCGTTTCACGCTGACCACAATGACCGCACGATGTTTGATGCAATGCGTGAAGTATTCGTGCAGTCTTGTAGGCGCTAATATGTGTAACATGCCGATTGCCGCGCCGAGGGCTTCTCCTTTTCATCTCAAGTCCTCGTCATCATTTCTCCCTAAGTCGCGCCGTTCCAAGCCATATTGTGTGTTTGATTTCTCTCTTAACTCGACTAATTAAAGGTGCTGGCTCTCGTATCACTGAAAGACGACAAAAGTAGAAATTACTATACTTTTAGGAAATGAGAGATTTTGTAGCCTTTTCTTGTTTGTAATTTTTTTTCTGAATCCGATTTTTTCTATACGTACATTTAAAAAAATTGCAAAAATTGCCGCCCCCTAGATTTGCCGTCATGGGCCGCGGCCCATGTGACCACTCCCTCAGACCGGCCTTGCAGCCGAGATACGAGTGGAGGGGCTCTTGTTTCTGCTTATGATTGTCCATAAGGAAGTGTCGAATCCCCGAAAGTAAAAGCTTCCACCTGTCGCCAAGAGGCCAATGGAGGGTCTCTTGTCTCTGGATACCAAATTCAAACTACTCGAAGCAAATAACCTAAAGGTAAAAGTCTTTTCAATCTTGCAACTACGGCCTGTGACAGATGCACGGAAGCATTAGAGATATTCCAATTACAACTGGAGACCTTGTCGCAAAGGGCACCGGGCACCTTCCTCCCTTTGACGTGCCCGGAACAGGCAGGATACGCTCCCGTAATATTGATGGTTACTTATAAAACCATTATTGGATATGAAATGCCGGTTGCGGAGCGCCCAGCTCAGGCGTACGGGGAGATGCAGCATCATAATGTCGCCGGCTGAACCTAGGACTGGTGACACTCGCGCGCCCCCCCGAAGAAGTGCCCAAGCTGTTGCTCTGCCATTTGCATACAATTCTCCTGACTTTGTGTAAATGTTTAAGTGTTTCAATGCTACATTCTCTCTGTGTCTTTTTTTCTAGAAACGTTTTTATCATCGCCTGAGGATTCTCCCACTGGAGCGTACCTTCTCTGTCTCTATCATTTGGATGTATTTCTGTAAAACGGAACTGTGTGCATTAAGACATGATCTCTAAGACCCTTAAGAATTTATGTATAACAGGGCTCACGTCATATTGCACATAGTTCCGTTTTACAGAAATACGTCAATTTTGTTATCGATCTGGAATGCAACTCTTGCTTTGGTCTGGAATTTTTTATTCAAGCACTAATTCCAGTGTAAAATTTCCCAAGAAACACGATGGTGCGACTGGTTTTCTCTTAAACACGCTCCAAAGCTCAAAAAAGCTTTTAAGGTTGATATCCCACACTACCTTGAGAGTCCACCTCTATATGAAGGCAAACTGTTTATGCAAAAATAGGGAGTAAGTACATTAACACGGTTGCCACTTTATTTGAGGACTCCAGAACTGAAAAAAAACGGCAACCCTGCTAACATATTTGCTCCCTATCTTTGCATAGAGAGTTTGATTTCGTTTAGAGGTGGACTCTCAGAGTAGCGTGGGGTGTCCCCTAGGGTGCGTCAAAAAAAATAAAAGTCTGAAATGTTCCACTCCCCAGGCGGCAATCGATGACGTTTGGTAAAAAAACATGTTTGCCAAAATTTGGGCCAATTTCAACCATTTTAAATGGTGCCAAAGGTCAATTTTGTGATGAAATTATAATATTTAGGTTTAGACCTCGATTTCGTACAAAAAACTCGATTTTACGCTGAAATCGTGCATTTACGAGAAAAATGCCAAAGAACTCGACTTGTAGAGAATGAAATTTTACACTAGGAGGACGTCTTTGTAACCGAAAAAAATCAAATTGAACTAGAAAAACTCAACTCGGTATTTATTTTTTTGGTCCTCAGAATTTCCGAGGTCTTACAAAGTAGAGGTTTAAAAGACTCATTTTTCACGAAAATAAGTCGAAAAAGGGTATAAATGAACTGTAGGCAAGTGTTGAGGATGCAAATGTCATCAGAACTTCCTCAGTTTAAAAAAAAGTTCCAACTATTTTGCAAAATCCTCCAAAAAGTGTACGGCTCGAGAAGCAGGATCGTGCTTTAATAGTAAGGGGAAAGTGCGGTTTAACCGGGAAAAATTGCGTAACAAACTTTCCCTATGTAATCGTCATCATTAGGTCCCCCTGAACAACTTCCTGAAAGTTAAAAAGGGCCCGACCCCGGAACACCCCTCAAAAAAGTTAAAATTGAAAATGGCGGCCGTAATAAGAGGGTCCGGGAAATCGGTATTTTAAAATGCTCATTCTGTCTCATCATGTGAGGTATCATTTCCTATGTAATTTTGGTCGTAGATTTCATAAATGAATTCCTCAAGGCCCTCCGGCCAAAGGGGGCGCTCCAAATCAAAGATGGCGGCCAAATGTGAAAGGCAGGAGGTTGCATTTTTTAAATATTCACCGAAAAAACAAGGAAAGTGAAGTGTCTTTATTTTCATGTATTTATGGCCAAGAAACTTAAATTTGATGTTATAAATGTATTTAATAAAGGAAATTAAAGGAGAGAAATACGACTACCGAGAGAAACGTAAGCTCAGAAGGGGCCTTGCGGAATTCATTTGTGAAATCTACGACCAAAATTACATAGGTAATGATACCTCACATGATGAGACAGAATGAGCATTTTAAAATACCGATTTCCCGGACCCTCTTATTATGGCCGCCATTTTCAATTTTAACTTTTTTGAGGGGTGTTCCGGGGTCGGGCCTTTTTTAACTTTCAGGAAGTTGTTCAGGGGGACCTAATGATGACGATTACATAGGGAAAGTTTGTTACGCAATTTTTCCCGGTTAAACCGCACTTTCCCCTTACTATTAAAGCACGATCCTGCTTCTCGAGCCGTACACTTTTTGGAGGATTTTGCAAAATAGTTGGAACTTTTTTTTAAACTGAGGAAGTTCTGATGACATTTGCATCCTCAACACTTGCCTACAGTTCATTTATACCCTTTTTCGACTTATTTTCGTGAAAAATGAGTCTTTTAAACCTCTACTTTGTAAGACCTCGGAAATTCTGAGGACCAAAAAAATAAATACCGAGTTGAGTTTTTCTAGTTCAATTTGATTTTTTTCGGTTACAAAGACGTCCTCCTAGTGTAAAATTTCATTCTCTACAAGTCGAGTTCTTTGGCATTTTTCTCGTAAATGCACGATTTCAGCGTAAAATCGAGTTTTTTGTACGAAATCGAGGTCTAAACCTAAATATTATAATTTCATCACAAAATTGACCTTTGGCACCATTTAAAATGGTTGAAATTGGCCCAAATTTTGGCAAACATGTTTTTTTACCAAACGTCATCGATTGCCGCCTGGGGAGCGGAACATTTCAGACTTTTATTTTTTTTGACGCACCCTAGTGTCCCCTCCATCACGGTTTTAACTTTGAGAGTTTTTTTGAGCTTTGGAGTTGATTTCAGAGAAAACTAGAGGCTCCATCGTGTTTCTTGTAAAATTTTACGTAAGCATGACTACTTTAAATCGCAAATCCTTCAAGCATGCATGCAAGAGCTCCTTTTTCGAGCCATAGACCGGCATGTCGGGCTTCGTAATGAATCGATTGATGAGCCATTTAAATCTATACAGAAAAGGATCCATCCTTAGGATCGATCAAAATCGATTCATAGCTACAAATGGTGATAAATCGATAGCTGATGATCACACCACGTTACGGCCAGTAATTCCTTTCAATTTACCTGCAAATAAGAGGAATTTCAATGCATGCTCTTTCCATAGACTGAATACCACAGACAGGGGAGGATTATTTTATTCATATCGATTAATTTCCATGGGAAGCAGCGAAGGAGGATTTGCTTTTGCTCATAACTCCCATTCGATAAAGTCCATGTATACAGAAAGAAATATGGGTATAGCTTTTAGGTGCAATTTTCGACCCGTAATTTGTGTCATGAAATATCTGATTCTTTCACTGATCAATATTTCTTAGGAAGTTGATTTAGAAAATAATCAAGGAAGTAACTCACCAAATGCATTGGTTCCCGTATTCATGTGCTCGAAGACTTCGCCTGAAACAAAATGGAAAAGAAAATCAACATTTTTTGAAGGGGAATCTGCTTAATTGCGCTCATAATTCAAGCCTTCATAAGCAATATGGATCGGAATCGAAAGTTCAGTAATACATATCACCGGCTTCATACATTTTTTAAACTAAGGAATAAATCGGTCGCACAAACCGAAAAATGGGTTGACAGCGGAGAAAATTGAAATTGGCTTTGTTTTATCATTACAAATGATTAAGGGTGGGGCACGGGACAAATTTTGCCGGAACGGAACTATGCGCATTCAGACATGAGCCCTGAGACCCATAAGAGTACATGCATAATAGGGGTCACGTCATAATGTACATAGTTCCGTTTGGCCAAAATACGTCAAAATAACTTTCACGGACTGCAATGATGAGGCAGAATCACTATCCGCCGAATTTACTGAAGCAAAGAGCCTACGGTTTATCACTTCATTTTTCCCGTGTGTGTAAATAAGGTGTTTTGAGCAGTAAATTTACTTTTTTTCAGGTACGTTCATAAAATTGAACCCAGGATTTTGACTTTGATAAACACAAGTATCACGACGCCTCGCGGTGGAAAGAGATAATAAGAGAGGTCGGACAAAATATGAAAACTTTAAACGCTCATAACTCCGTGTTTACAAAACTTTGAAGTTCTGAGAGTGGCTCCATTGGTATTCTTCAAGAAACACCCCTTAAAGTTTAAAATGTGCCGAAATAAACATCAAAATTTGCAATTTTTGTTAAGAATTTCATGTCCGACCTTTCTGATTGACTCAATCCACTGTGCGACGGCACAGAGATACAACTTTTCGTACTTGTTGGGCGTCCGTGCTGCATCTGAAAAATTGAAGGCGCGATGACGCGATGCGTGAGCTCTCAATGCTCTGCTATAATATGCTATCGATGAGATGTCGCTCAGATTCGGTAGAAAAGTTAAAAAAGAGGCCCGAACACAGAGCCCTTACCTTTGGCTGTGTTACTCACGTAGTAATTGAAGCACAATCACGAATAAGACAAACGGAAAAAACACAATATGGAAATAGAGGGTGGGAAAGGATGCGCGACGGACGGCGCAGAGATACAACTATTCGTACTTGATGGATGTCCGTGCTGCTCTGAAAAATTGAAGGCGCGATGACTTGCAGCGTGAGATTTAGTAAACAACTTCATGTCCGCCTTCTCTAATTGACCCGATCCACAGTGCGTCATTGGAGAGAAGATCAAGGGAGTCCCTCGCCTCTGCCCCAACGTTAGAAGACAAATGTGCAACGTGCCACTCAAATCGAAAATCAATGAACGCGCGGGCACTACTAGAGGTCAACAGTTTTCATTTAAAACAAACCTGAAATAAATCGGTTGAGTAATCCCCGAGATAAAAGGCAGACATAAAAAGATAAAAGGCAAACATAAAAAAATGGGAGCTAAGGTCCCGAAACGCGTCTCGTTATTTTAAAAACAATTTTTTACGCAAGTGACCGTGGTATTACCAAAAATTGTCTTTGTGTTTTTAAGGAACTTTAACTTGTGTAGGCCCCTAACGGTATTCAAAGGGGAAACATAAAAAGCCTTAAAATTCTAGATATATGTACATAAATCATTGACTTTGAGATAGGAAAGTTAAACTTCTCATTTACGAAAAAACCAAATCAAGTACACCTATATTCTGCTATCAAAAACTCATTTCAACCATTGGAAAAAAGAAATTCACGAAATTCCCTCCCTCTTTTATGAGCATCGTTTGTAAACTTGCCACAAAAATTCAGTGCTCAGATAAGATTACTCTATCAGAAAGAATACCGAAATAAGAATAGTTGTCCATTAGATAGGTGGAATATTCTTAAAATACTTCAAATATACTCTAGTGGGAAGTGAAGAGTTTTAATAAATCAGCTTATTAAAATAAGGTAGGTGCGCCAAATAAGGTCATGTACCCTAATAAAGCCACTTGTCTTTGATCGTCTGTAGATTTCGTAAAAAAGCATGTAGCGCCTAAACAGCGACCTCCATTGGATAGGGATTTAAGTCAGATCAGGTCACCCCACTTGCCCGACCCTTCAAGGGTAACTCAAGCCGAAAATTTGAAGTTTTTTGTTTGAGTACAAACGTGCGTTTCAAAATTAGCTCATTCCGGAGAGTACTATTTCATTCATAACTTTAGTTTATCGCATGCAATCCATTGAAAACTCTACATATCGACGGTGAAACTACCAAACCACGTATCTCGTTTGCGGTGTTTAAAAATCTACGCTCGCATTTTATTTTTTTGAAGTACACCAAATCAATATCATTCCTTGAAATTTTCACAGAATTTTCTCCGCGCGAAGAGGAAAAATCATAGAAATTTTCAAGACTGGACGTTAAGTAGTTTTTCATTTAAAAAATAAAGTATGACAGGAAGTCTGCGACGTCGCAAACCGAGATACGTGGTTTGGTAGTTTCACCGTCGATATTCTTTTTCAGCATATCCTCTTCTATTAACAACATCAATGTGATTTTCCCTTTTTTTTATTCCAGCTAATATAATGGGTGGAAAATCAAGTCAAGGTAAGGTGTACCCTAATAAGGCCAGGTGGCTCTATTGGGGTACATTCCTCCTGAAATCAAAGCCGTCAAAAACTAATTTTTAATTCCTAAGCTAGCTCACGCTTCGCGTCATCGCGTCTTCAATTTCTTAGATGCAGAACGGACGTCCATCAAGTACGAATAGTTGTATCTCTGCGCCGTCGTAAACGCGCATCCTTTCCCTCCCTCTATTTCCATGTTGTGTTTTTCCGTTTGTCTTTCTTGTAATGGGCCTGTTGCAAACTTTTGCTAGAGCAGAATGAAGAGTTGTTTCCTATAGATAATGCCTCAAAAATCACGATGAGCGCATCGGCAAAGTCTGAAATGCACTCATAAATTCACAATCTGCGTAAGAAATTTGCGTTATTTTGAGCTTCCCGCTTCAAAAACGATACTACTGCACAGGTGAACATTTTGTTAGATGAGTCCCTCCATCGTCGGCAATATTCATCATGGCCGACGCTTGCGCAGTTCCGCGAGTAAATCGAGGAGAGTTCAAGATCAATTAAGGCGGGCGAGGAAAATATAAACGTAAACACGCCGATTGTTATCTGATTTAATCCTGTTCAGATGTTATCTCGTCCCATCACACGTGTTTTGGCGGACTGGCGTCGGCCATGATGAGTATTGCCGCCAATGGAACGGCTCCTCTAACAAAATGTTCACCTGTACCGTAGTATCGTTTTCGAAGCGGGAAGCTCAAAAAACCGCAAATTTCTTACGCAGATTGTGAAGTTATGAGTGCATTTCAGACTTTGCCGATGCGCTTATCGTGATTTTGGAGGCATTATCTGTAAGAAACAACTCTTACTTTTGCTCTAGCAAAAGTTTGCAACAGGCCCATTGTGCTTCAATCACTACGTGAGTAACACAGCCGAAGGTAAGGGCTATGTGTTTAGGCCTCTTTTTTAGCTTTTCTACCGAATCTAAGCGACATCTCATTGACAGCATTTTATAGCAGAGCATTGAGAGCTCACGCTTCGCGTCATCGCGCCTTCAATTTTTCAGATGCAGCACGGGCGCCCATCAAGTACGAATTGTTGTATCTCTGCGCCGTTGCACAGTGGATTGAGTCAATCAGAAAGGTCGGACATGAAATTCTTCACTAAAATTGCAAATTTTGATGTTTATTTCGTCAGATTTTAAATTTTAAGGGGTGATTCTTGAAGAAAATTTTACAAGAAAACCAATAGAACCACTTTCAGAACTTCTAAGTTTTGTACAAACGGAGTTATGAGCGTTTAAAGTTTTCACTTCTTGCTTACAATGTTTAGCGCTCATTCTGATAAAATTGACTTCGATGATTTGTCGAGATACTATAAGAGGCAGGGAAGAAAAGTTGCCCGGACCCAAGGAGCAGTGATTAGTTGCGATTTGATTGGAGGATGTATCGCGATTTTATCGAACTCGATTTTACAGAGATAGAATCGCGACAAAATCGGAGATAATCGCACAGATGTTGATGATCCTAGCGATTTTATCGCCAAAATAAATGAAAAAATCGCAACTTAATTTATGTAAATTGGGATTTTTCCAAAATTTAAAAAAATTGCGGCCTCTTTAAGTCTCTTAAATACAATTTCTAGGAACCTCAGGGCTTTGTAAGACTGAAGAGGATTCACAAATGATGTAAAATTGCTGTGAAACAAGTAATAATCTAGGGAATATCACGGGATCTTCTTCGGGGCCCTGCAGCATATCGATTGTGAAACTCCCAAACCACGTAACTCGTTTACGGTGTTTCAAAATCTCCACTCCGTTTTTTCCCTTCTAAATAGAACAAATCAACATTATTCCATGACATTTTCACAGAAGTTTCTTCACACAGAGAATAAAAATCAAGAAGGTTTTAAATAATTGACGTTGAGTAGTTCTTCACTTAAAAATTAAAGTATGACAGGAAGTCTACAACGCCGTAATCCGAGATACGTAGTTTTGGATTCACCATCGATACTCTTAGGCGGTGTTTACCTACTCCTCACCTTCCTATAGCCAGTCCGTCCCGTACTTGAATGACGTGAAATTAATATATCTCTAACTTTTACAGTTGCAGGTAACCCGCATTTATTCTCAATAACTGTGACAATTGTTTAGTACCTGATACTAATTGATGTTCATCAATCATTTTAGGAACGCCTCACGGTTTTTGAAAATATAATTTTTTGCTCAAACACCGAAAATTGCATTTCCACAAAACGTAATTTTAACACACGCCGCACTGAAAAAAAAATCTCGGTGTATTTACTAAGAAAAGGGTAAAATTACCAAGAATTCAGGGTTCTATTTGATCCCAGTTTTTTCTTGGTAAGATTACCATTTATGGAATTGGTGATTTTACCGAGAAATCTACGTAAAATAATTGAACTTTTTCGGTAATTTTACTGGACCTTGGTAAAAACGCCAATATTTTTTATCGACTATGTGGTAGAAGTACCGAGATAAAATGGCAAAGTTACCGGGAATTGATTACCAATAAAAGTGGTATTCTTACCTGAAAAAAACAGTAAAAATACCTGTTTTTGGGTAAGCTTACTAGTCTGTCTTGGTAAAATTACCAATAATTGGTAAAAAAAGTGAGATGGTAAAGGTACCAGAATTTTTTTTCAGTGCGCACGCTTCAGTAGCGCACGACAGTCATGCTGCCAACTATGCCACTTAAGTCTCCTTCTTGTCATTCAAAACTCGAGGTACACACAATGAATGGCATTGTGAAAATCATTGTCAACTTCATCTTTTGCGAGTGGCGTATCGCAATCAAGACGCAATCAGAGTTTGAAATTCTGTCACATGGCCCCGTAATGTAAACGATTCACACAAATACAATTCAATTTTATTATCAAGGAGGCTTAATGGTTCAAAATATTCATTTCCTCTTCAAAAGACCTTTCAAATATTAAGGGTGACCGCTAGTAATTCATGGGAGTCGGGAACTTTGTTAATTCTCATGATCTAATCCAGTATTTAAAATACCCTGATTGATTCTGTAGGTGAAGAAGCCGGCACAGAGAAATAGGCGGATTTAATTAAAATCAGACTCTGAGTTTCATGATGCTTCATTTTTTCTCGTGTATCATTTTAGAACAAAACTTAATAACTAACAATGAGCTATTGACATTGCCTCGAAACGCATGGTAAAATTCCCCTAAAACATGAAGATAGCATTCACAAAATTCCAAAACAGCTCGTCGCCTCGTTTTCTCATCGAATGTAATAAGACATGAGAGAAGCTAATGCAACATGCAAGGCAGTCATCAGGCTAATTTTGGATGTCGCCCGAATATCGATTTGTTTTACATACATTTAAATGGACAAAACCTTGTGTTGTCATCTCGCCAAAATTGCCGTTCAGTGCAACGCCACGCCGTTGCGTTGAATAAAGTACCTACCACCAAGGCACCACTATAGGCACTGAGTTATAAGATGAGATTTTGCTATCGGATATGATTTCCTTATTTATTTCTTGATTGTTGAGCGTGGGTGCTAACTATGCTAAAAATCAGCCCCCCCTCCAATTAAACGCAATTTAAAGGAATTTATATCATGAGTAGTTTGAGGCCTCCGGTTTAGCTGCCAATTGGACCCCTTTTCTTAATAGAACATGGATACTAGTTTGGCCTTATTGATAATTCCTAGGGCCTCAGTATAGCATTTCATTTTTAAAAAATAAAATAAAATGGATAAAAATGAAAGTTGTGAACACTTACTGCTTCGCTGAGGAATCTGCGCAGCTGAAACAGAAAAAAAGGTACCAATGTTAGTCTCAATGAAATGATACTAATGTAAATAATCAATAACTTACATTGACTAACTAAATAGATGAAAGAACGATGGTAAAGTCAATACTCACAGATGTCCTTTATTTTTGTAGAAGATCCCTGAAAAAACACGTATGTGACTCCAGTCGTCGGAGTGGTTGAGAGATTCGAGTTGACAGTGTCTATAGCCACCCATTATGTTAATACAAAATTAAAACAAGGGAAATGATCCATCCGTATTCGATGAATTTCTGTCTCATTTAATATCTTACAGAATAATGACACAATTTTGCAATTTCTTTGAATAAATATTATTTCAGAATGAAAAAAATTTAAAAGCACGCATCAGATAGGAGGGAATTTCACTACTTACTCCCCAAACTGTAATTGGGAAAACCATCATTTATTCATTTCAGTTATTAAAAGTTGGGCAAACCTAAATAAAATACGGGAAACTACTTGAAAGGGTGAAAAAACGGACACAAATTGAAAAAACACAGCTAAAAATCATGCACTACTTGCACCCTATACTGTCGGTCGTGCCTTTCGAGGAGCACAAGCTGAGCGAATTTTTTTTGGTTGCGAATGCGAAGGCTTGCGGTGATATGCTATTACATTTTAAAATAAAGAATTAGTGACTTTCTAATTAGCCGTTGAAAATGCAAACTCCAAAGCGAGAAATCAGCTAACGTTAGGCATGAGCACATAGACACTCTCGAAGCTAAACATCACAGAAAAGCAGTATTTGTAACTGTGGCGAGGGGTGAATGATCGATTATCGATATTTCCTCATCTGAAACTAATGTAAAGAATCGATTATTAAGGTGTCCGTTGCGAATTCCCTGCATATCGATCCTTTTCCATAGGTTCAAATGGCAGATTAATCGATATTCGCAAAGCACGCCACGCCATTAATTTGCGATATGGAGACGAGGAAAAATGGAGTTAACGTGAAACAAAGGAATAACTATACCATCATATATACCGATAATTCTGAATCATTTACCACGAAGAACATTTAAAAATCCAAAAATCATTTTTTGGACTCCTCCAAAGTTCTAGACAAATTGAGAAATACGCAGACAAAGTTTCCAGGAGATTAATAAGTCTGTTACAGTGCCTATAAAAAGGAACTTTTAAGCACGATATCATTATTATTTTCAATATCTTTAAGAAGAAAAGCACGACAAGACAGAGTGGAGAGGGTTGAAAGGAAAAGGTATAGTAAGTGGCCAAGGGGTACCCTTTTGTCCCACGGTAATATTACACTTTAATCTTATGGGGTCGAGGGTGCAAAATGTTCCTCTTGAGGCGCACGCATTTATTAAAAGATGCTCTAATGCCGTGCTAAAGAAAAACGCAGTATGAAACTTAAGGCCTTGCCAAATTTCCTTTGATAAAACACGAATTTCCTGATGTACCTATGAATATTTTCTTTATAATATATATAAATTTTTGCGATAATTTTGTTCGCAATTTGACCAAATGTTTTTGAGAATTGCAAGGAAAAATATTCATAACTTTCCTCAAAAAGAAACTCCTCTATCCAAGAAAATTTGGCGACTCTCTTGAGTGTTTATACGATGCTCTTCCTTAGCAAGGCAGTGTAGGCCTGATTTAATTTCTAGAGGAGAGGGGTAGACTCATTTCGTGGCTACACCATTCAATAAATCGATTTAGTCTTATCAGAATATGATTGGCCCCTCGGAATTTTGCTACTTTTTTCAAACACGTCAAATTGCAGATCAAAGATATTATTAGAGGCATTGGAGAGGAAATCTAGTAGTTCGAAGCAGTTTTGAGAAGAACTTTGCACGATTGATTATTTATTCCATGGAATACACTAGCCGCATCTTCCCCCATAAATTCTGTTCAATGATGCAATGATTCTCTAAAGAGGGGACCTGGGGTCCCTATCACCCCCGCAAAGTTTTCAAAATGTAGCTTCTTCGAAAGGCATTTCAAGCATTTTCGGAGTGTATCTCATACATTTTTGGTTGTTTTTAAAATACAATTTCAACCTTTCATCCTTTTACTTTTGAGGCTCCGAGGAAAAAAAGTCTCGTTGTCATCCTTGGATCAGCCCTGATAACGAAGTTTCATTTTCCCTACTTAATGGTCGGTAAGCCAAATAGACGTAGCACATAAGTATCCTCCGGCATATATTAGGTACCAACATTTTGAATAATTTTTCCAGAAAAGGAAGTTAAAAAAGAAAAGTTAAAGAAAATCTTGGAAAACTTTGGGAAGTGGCTGCCCTTTTTCTTTCCTTACAAGCACCACCCTTTCCTTACTCTTTAGAGGCCTTGGAGACGCGTTGATAAATTTGACTTTTACGGTTTGGATTATGAGGGTCCCAGGGTCCCATCATTCTTCTCTAGGCCCTATTTAAATACTCGAATTCTATAAGTTTGTAATCTTGGAGCCCGCTCCTCGCTTTCGAGGCATTTAAGATACCGTCAATACCACTAAATGTTTTAGGTGTGAGTCTTAAATAGCCCAAATTTCAAATTAGCGAGCCCTGCATGAATCACGACAACAGCGGGTTAATACTTCTCTCACACATCACACTGTATCTCATTCATTAAAACCAGTTCTCCTTCAATATCTCGATAGGCAATGTGAACGGCTTGGGAGCAGTAATAGGAACCATCGATATTATCGAATGGCATAGCCTCCGAATCGGTCCATGGCATGGTCTAGGAACGTTTACTCGGGTGCAATATGAAGAACTCACAAGCAGGAGGATGAGGTCTTTCTTCCCTTGGAGTTGGCCATAGTTGGCGCGCTATCAGTGCTATTTGGCCCTTGGCAGTCTGTAATATACAAACATCACGGGTCAACACAAAAACAATCAAACATCCGGCTTTAACACCCGGAGGAGTGAGTGACAGGTGGGAATATTCTAGATTAAATTTCAAAAGTACAAAACGTGCAGTAAAAATGTCGGTCGCAATGTAAAGTTAGTGCCTGCTTAATTAGTAAAGTTTAAATGGAAAATGTCGCCCAAATTCTTCAAAAAGCGGCGGACTTTCTCAGTGATAAATATATTTTATTCCGTTTTCCTGCACGGAAATAAATTGTAAAAAATACTCTGCGATTTACTTTCAAGTGAAGTGATGTATTGTCTTGTGTAATCTTACGTGCATCGGAACAAACCCGATCAGAAAAATTTGACCCCGCGGAGGTACATTTTTGCCAGTAGCGTGGCGTGGCATGCTTGCGATATCAGGGCCGGATTTACCTACTTGCTGCCCATGGGCCGCTAGTATTTTGCCGCCCCCTTCTCATTCGTTTTGAAACATCAATGAAAACCATCAAATGAACGTGTCAGCGGGGGAGGGGTGCATAAGACGCGTTTACTGGTGTTGAACAAATTTTTTTGGGAAAGCCCTGTCAACACTAGCAAAAGTTCACGGAACTTTGCGCGAAAGTTAAGTTTCGTAAACCTTTCTCTGTGTGGACAAGGCCTTCCATTCATAAGAAATGAACGAAAAAATTATGAAGGAACAAACATAAATGTGAATTAGTGATTTTAACTTCCGCCGCCGCGCCTCGCAGACCGCACTGTGTTTGACGCAATGCGTGAAGTATTCACGCAGTCTTGTAGACGCTATGCGTCTGCGTCTCCCGCTGATCGCACTGTGTTTGCCGCAGTGCGTGAGGTATTCATGCATTCTTGTAGGCGCTATCCGTTTCACGCTGTCCGCAATGACCGCACCGTGTTTGATGCAATGCGTGAAGTATTCATGCAGTCTTGTAGGCGCTACGTGTTACATGCCGATCGCCGCGCCGAGGGTTTCTCCTTTTCATCTCAAGTCCTCGTCATCATTTCTCTCTGGGTGAGTCGCGCCGTTCCAGGCCAAATTGCGTGTTTGGTTTCTCTCTTAACTCGACTAATTAAAGGTGCTGCCTCTTGTATCACTGAAAGACGACAAAAGTAGAAATTACTATACTCTAAGAAAATTAGAGATTTTGTCGCCTTTTCTCGTTTGTAATTTTTTTTCTAAATCCGAATTTTTTTATACCTACATTTCAAAAATTGCAAAATTTGCCGCCTCCTGTAGATTTGCCGCGTTGGGCCGCGACCCATGTGGCCACCCCTTTAATACGGCCCTGTGCGATACATCGATTGATTTGCCGTTTAAACCTATAGAAAAGGATCGATGAACAGAATGTTCGCTACGAACTCCTTAACAATCGATTCTTCGCTATAGCTTCAAAGGGGAAATATAGATAGTCGATTATTCAAGCCTCCGCACTGACTTTCACTAGAGTGCCTGTATACGGGAGAGTATATTGCCATATCCGTTCCGCTCTCCGATTGGTTCATCAGTTTTAGGCTTTCATGAAGCTCAAATGGCCCAATGTTGGCCCAATGTAAACAAACCCGACCCAGAGGAACACGTATTATCGGCTGAGAAATGAATGATAATCACACTCAAGGGTTAATTTTCTGCAAAAATATCCATCAAAGTTCGATCCGAACACAATCCAGAAGTTGGATAGAAAAAAATTATTTAACTTCAAAAATCACGTCCAGAACTTTGTAAAACTTTGTCACCATCTTTTTTGTTCACATTGGACCAAACTAGGAGCGGAGGGGTTGGGATTTGTTTACATTGGTCCAACTTTGGGAGTCGACCAGTCAGAGAGTGGCACACTTTTTCTGTAGTAAAAGGATTACGGGGGCGATACTCTCCAGTATACAGGTACTCTGTCTTTTACCACCCAAAGGACTAAAAGGAACTAATATATTAGGTGCATGGCTTATAGGCGAGAGGTTCCGGATATGTTTTGTTTTCGGATCCGAATCATGTGATATGAGATACCTATCATGATCACACGAAGCCCCTCGCCTGCGCCTGTGCCCTCCTGCGCATTTGTTGGTCGTTTGCGGATGTAGCCAGTTCCGCCCGCATGGTGTATGTACCATCTTCGTACCTCCGCACACACGGTGTTGGTGAGGATAC